TTTCTATGTTTTCGGATGTTTTTATACATGATTTATCACATATTTATATGGCAGATTGTGTTAATTTGCAAAACATTAAGATAAAAGTAAGTTAAACATCAAAATATTGAAAAACAGACTCCATGTCCCTTATGGGCCACCGTACTTTCAAGACGGAATACATTCTACCCACAAGGCCAACTTTTGTGACACACTGACATAATTTAGAACGATCAACAGTCAAATGCCTTTTTTAAATCAACAAATGCTACATATCAATTATGTCTTCGTAATGATAACCTTATATGGATTTAATGCATATAAAGTAAAGATGTGGTCAGTAGTTGAGTCTTTCTCTAGGAAACCAGCTTGAGATTCAGGAAGCTTTCGTGCATATTCGCCCAGAGTGAAAGCGGCATCTAATGATACTTACTCACTCACTCTGTTGGTCTTTCTCTAAATACGCCCGGAGACCCAGTACAGATCTCTACATGGTCTATATGATACTTGGACAACAATAATTTAACATAGTTAGGTTTATTGCATCATACAACGATGGGGTTCTTGTGTTGTCTTTGTTTGTTGAGTCTGGACCAGACAATCCAGTGATTGAAATCATGAGCATAGATCCACACAATTGGGATCGATGACATGCATCAACCAAGTCAGCGAGCCTGACCACCCGATACCGTTAGTCACCGTTACGACAACCATAGTCGCCTTTTACAGCAAGCATGGGTTGCTGAAGACCTATTCTACCCCGGATCTTCACTGGTCCATTGCTCTTGTGAGAGGTTAGCCTGTATAGATTCAATTTATAAAAGGCAGAAATCACATAGATGGAATATTGTAGTGTGTAGCGTTTAACAAGAAACAAAATCTCAAGGAATGAATGAGCTGGATTATACTCGTGACAAATCTGGGATTTGAACCCCTATCTTCACATCTTTGCACACCTAAAGGATATAACTCTGTGGTGACCCCGACCACTGGGCCACCCATGATCCCCTTCGGCTCAAATACAACACAACATATTTTTATTACAATATTTAATAGGTGAAAACTGTACAATAAAAGACAATTCATGGAATATTGTAGGCATTCAGAAACTGTATATGTTGTCCTATTAAACAAGTGTAACAAGCAATACTGGCAATATAAGGGAGATAACTGATGTTTAAGATTAGTGCATGTCATCTCATGAGTATTCTGATGCAGAAAAAGCTAAAAGCTGAAAACATCAGGTGAAAGGCATCATATAAGAAATACAAGCTAAAAGTGCTTAGGTGTCCTATGTCATGAATATTCATGAGGCCACATTGTTGTTGTTTTTTTTGTGTGTGTGTGTGTGTGTGTGTGTGTGCATGTGTGACATTAACATCTTCAGGAAATATCTAGCAGCCTCCAGAATTAGAACGCCCTTTTCACAGCCCTTTTCTGTGGGGCCTAATATTCATCGCAAAACATCATTTGAAAATGATATGTCTCATTTCTTAAATTAGTTTCCCTAACAAATCTTTCTATCAGGGAAAAGAACTCACTTGTGTCATTAAAACATAATGTTTGAGAAACCAAGTTCCAGACCATATGATTTCCCAAATGTAAAAATACTAAACAATGAAAATGGAATTAGACTGAAAACTATATCTGCCTATCAACAACTGCATATCCTGTAGGGCTGGGACGAGTCCAAATGTACTACCCGGGTACCCATCCCCCTACTACCCAACCCTACCCGGGTACCCGCTGTTGGTGTCAGGAATAGGTACAAAATGTCCAATTGGGAATAGTTTGACAGTAGCCCTGGCAAAATGTATTTAGAGACACGTATAAAACGATCTGTCATGCATACACTGAAGTTGACTGAAGTTTTAGCTTTGTTCAAACATATATAAGTCAGAAGGAACGTGTTCATAGTCATGAAGAAATGTGAACATTAGAGACTAAAAATTGTCACTTCATCATTGCTCTTGTTGGTTGGTTTGTTGTTTGACGCCACACTCAGCAATATTCCAGCTATATGACATCGGTCTGTAAATAATCAAGTCTGGACCAGACAATGCAGTGATTGATATCACGAGCATCGATCCATGCAATTGGGATTCGATGACAGGCATCAACCAAGTCAGCGAGCGAGATCACCCATTCCCGTTAGTTGTCTCTTACGACAAGCATAGTCGCCTTTTACAGCAAGCATGGGTTACTGCGCAGACCAATGAGTGTTCAGCGTATATCACACAAACAATATTTCTCACTTGACAGCTTAGATACCATGGTGGTATCCGCTCCATGCATTGCTTCAATGTCTGGCAACGGTAGGTTAGCACAAAGTTCATGGATGTAGGGCTCATTTGACGGAGTTATTTCATTAGCTGACCGAAACTGAACACTTGTCACCTCTACACAGAATAGATAGGCCCAATAGACTCATGAGGGAATGAGTAACCAGCGTATACCATGAAGTACAGATGATGTTTTCCTATCAACATCACTAATGTGCAACTCATTCTGGTTTACGAATACTCAATATGGCCACCTAAATTTACACATGATGTACCAAAAGGAAAATTTTTCTCTGTATCATTCTGGGAATAAAACTACTAAAAGTATATATATATGTATATAAATAAAAATAAATGTTAAAAAAATAAGAAAAGATAAAAGTCAAAAGAGATTCTTAACTGAAAGTAGTCTTATCTAAATCTATTCCTAACCTGCTCGTCATCCTGTTTTAACTCTTTTAACTCTAGCCTTGATAAAGCTACACCCTTATAACCAAACTGAATTAATATCCTGAATCATGTCACAATTTATATATATAACTGTTTTCAAAGTAAGTAATCTACATTTCAACATTCTTCAAAAGTACATGTCTGCTACAAACTTACAATTTGTCCGCCATCTTGCTCCTATAAACCACTCATCAAAGATGGATAAATATATTACCGTATATTGCCGTCCATAAAGCGACCCAACGTATAAGACCCCCCCCACTCCCCGTACAAACCTTTAAAATCAAGCTAATTTATATACCCCATCTATAAAGCGAATCGGAATGTGGCACCTGTCCACTTGTTCAAAGTATATTTCTTGATATCTTTTGGGTTGATAGATGTGTTATTTTGTTATCATAATTCGGTCAAGTTAAAAAATAAGAGAATTATACATACACAAATATTTCCCCTTGGTAGATATGAATGAATATTTAATTAAGCACTATATGTAATAAGATGATTTCTTTTTTAATTTCAGAATTTTCTAATCCAGAGCCTTGTCTAAGACACATTTCCTTTCAGTTTCATTTAGACATGGTGTGTGATCTGGAAGATAAACTTTCTAAAATCACCCCTGTTACTGCAGGCATGGTATATTTTTAGTGGTCTGTATCATTAAAGGGCAAAAGTTAAGCCCCCTTGTGTTCATGGTTCTTGTCAAGCACAAGGTATGATGTTTATGTGTTGCCCATAAAGGTGTTTCACTGAGTTTTGGAGATTACAAATAAAAATTCGTTTTTGAACGCTATGTCTCTGCTTTAGGATGGAAATAGATAACGGCAAAACTGGCGGCGACTGACGTAATGGCTACAAAAGAAACACAAGGAGAACAATCTAGCACACACTCCCATTTCACTTTTCAGGATTAACACTGCTGTGAACAATAATTCTGTTGTATCACTGTATGTCAGCCTCATGTGTTGTCAACAACTACAGGCTTGGTCAGCAACCACCTTGTAGAACAGTAAAGGTAAAGAGGTCAAGGATCATATTCATGGTCTTGGAATCGAACTAATCACATGCACAGCCTAGCTAAGGGAAAGAACTCTGTCAAACACAAGGGAGACCACTGTGATCTGTAAAACATGCACTGATAAAGTATCAAGGGATCGCAACAGATGAGGCTAACGGACAACTTCATCTTAATATAACAATTTCCATAAACAGAATCACAGGTGTAACATATAATCCCACATAGGTAGACATCCAGTCATTTCAATACATTTTCATTTCGAATCAACAGTTTTAACAGATATTAAAAGTATCATTATATTCTTAATACATAAACATGATCAATCACTGCTCTATTGTCTGCTTCCATCCATCTTCACTCATTACCTTCTCTTGGTCAGTTTTAACCTGAACAAACATTATCCTAACTGGGCAGAATACAATAAACTATCAATACTATTTGGCTAGAAGGTATTAGCAGTTTCTTTGATAAAGCTGCTAATGTTTCATTTGTTGGATCACAGATCGGCTGACCTTTATATGACAGGCCACGAGACCAGGAAGTGGACCTTTGGGAATCAGAGTCTACACGTGATGCTTATGACAGGCCACGAGACCAGGAAGTGGACTCTTTAACCAGTAACCATACACAGGTCAACATGTCAGAATCTGCTTGCAGGGGCAAGAGATAGAATCCAAGCAAGGCAGCTGACTTTCACTGATGTGCATGGTATATGTGCTGGTTGATGTTCTAATCTAACTCTCTAGACTGAATCAGTGAGTGGGGATTTAAGCTGAATCACTGTAGTTGTGCTGTTTTCAATGGTCGGAAAGTACATATTATAGACGCTGTGCAAAGTCAGTTTATCAATCATGACAAGGCTGGTGCAGGCAAACCCTAATCTCAGCTATGTTGAGGCCAGTGACGGCAAACTATAGACTAATAGCCAGAGCCATTTTGAGGCCAGTGAAGGCAAATGATAAACTAACATCCTGAGCCTTGTTAAGGCCGATATGGGTCTGTTGGGGCTATTGTGGGACTAAGAGCCTGAGCCTTGTTGAGGCTGATGTGGGACTAAGAGCCTTAGCCTTGTTAAGGCTGATGTGGGTCTGTTGGGGCTATTGTGGGACTAAGAGCGTGAGCCTTGTTAAGGCCGATGTGGGACTAAGAGCGTGAGCCTTGTAAAGGCCGATGTGGGTCTGTTGGGGCTATTGTGGGACTAAGAGCGTAAGCCTTGTTAAGGCTGATGTGGGACTAAGAGCGTGAGCCTTGTAAAGGCTGATGTGGGTCTGTTGGGGCTATTGTGGGACTAAGAGCGTAAGCCTTGTTGAGGGTGATGTGGGACTAAGAGCGTGAGCCTTGTTGAGGCTGATGTGGGTCTGTTGGGGCTATTGTGGGACTAAGAGCGTGAGCCTAGTTGAGGGTGATGTGGGACTAAGAGCCTGAGCCTTGCTTAGGCTGAAGTGGGACTAAGAGCGCGAGCCTTGAGCTGGAATTAAGTATTTAAGCAGCTGGAGCCATACTGGGGTAACGTGAGACACAGAATCAATCAGCTGATGTTTGATAGTAGATCTCATTAGGTAAACCTTTCACTAATCAACACTCCAGTGACCAGGGAGATTCCAAGTGTGCTTCTTAGCAAGAAAGTAAATAGTCAGTATGGTACTTGTAATATCAGCATGTCAGTTCTAAAGGTTCTTCTAAAAATCATCATGAAAACTTCATGGGTTTGCATACTCTACATTTCCTACATCCATCACCTGTGAATACATACGCCAATTTTGAGCTGTACCTGGCTATCTATAACTAATGAAAAGGTGAATCTGGTTCCAGTGAGTACTTGTTTACAACGTTAACTGACTGTAAGAGTCCAGTTTCCACCCTTGCCTTCCACCTGGCTCTATTGTAGCGCCACCAATGGCTATTATGAGATATGTCCCTCCTATTGATCATGTCTCATATCGCTTGCACTAGCTTCAGACAACACGGCAGCGCAGAGTCAAGACGATCTGATCGATAATCAACATATATATTGTAATTAAACAGGTCTTACTTCGCGAAAAGTGGATCAAATCATGTGAGCACCTAGATTAAAAGCATGAAAATACTTGTATCATATCTGTTGGTTCCGAGTTGGCAGTACACATGTCTTAAACCTCCTGCAATTGACCAAACTCTTCACAGCAGTTGACAAACCGGATGTCACTTTTGTTATGCGATGCCAATTGGTTGGTTGGTTGGTTTGTTGTTTAACGCCGCACTCAGCAATATTCCAGCTATATGACGGTGGTCTGTAAATAATCGAGTCTAGACCAGACAATCCAGTGATTTCAATTGGACTATGCATAGACTCGTGAGTCCAACTCCATCATTCCAACCTAGTTCGGCAAGGGTGGAAATTTGACTTTTACAGTCAGTGAACTCCCTTGCCTCGAGAAGATGGTGTGTAGTATGCGCTACAGCCTTGTGGCATCTGTCCTGCACATTGCTTCACTGTCAGGTGATGGCAGGGCTTGCACAAAGTTCAAAGATGTTCATTCGACTTCCTGAGTTATACACAATCTCATTTCATTGGCTCACTAAATGTCACCACTATCCAGCATATCTTTAAGCATGGATAAGGACTTATTTGACTTCATGAGCTATACACGAGTCATACATGAGTTATACGTGAGTTATACACCAGTTATACATGGTAATACACAAGTTAGACTTAGACCCATCTCACCCTCCACTGCCTATCGTCCGGATGTATTCACAGTGATGGAGGAATATGGAGCATACATACTCATGAAATATTGACAATGTCACACAATATACATCTCATCCAATAAATACAGAAACAGATACTTATACAAAACATAACTTTATAACCATTTTGATGAAAAAGGAAACAAAGCATGATGGGAAACATTTGACACCTACTGTGATTCGGTTGTTCATATTGTTGAACGAATTGACACAAAAACTATTATAACACTTCAGGAAAACTCCCGGGAAACTGTGACATAGATCTTTGGTTGAATAAAAATACTTCAGTCTTCATCATGTGACCTCCCTGTAGACATTCACATATCAGTGGGTGAGCAGGGGTGGATCCAGCATTTTTAAAAGGGAGGGGTACAAAATATCAAAACCTTCTCAGATAATTTTACTGCCTACAACATACTACATCGGGTTTTCAAAGGGGGAGGGGTTGCGCCCTGGACACCCTTCTGGATCCGCCTATAGTGAGATAGCCTTTGGTTTTGAACAGCTATCAGTTATACCATGGCATGGCATCTGTGAGAAAAGCCCTAAGTTATGTAAGTCTTAGGATTTTACCTCTTTGGTGAAACCCACATGCACAGGTATGGCGCGAACAAACCTAAAGACATAATCACAGTCAACTTGAGATTCGCTCCGACCACAATGATGATAATAGCTTTGCCTAAGGGAGGCAACTCTTCACAGCGAACATCTTTCCTAAATGCACGACCCATGTCCAAAAAAACATATAAAAAAGAACCTATTCATAGATGCAGAGATGCCAATCCAACTTGGGGCAACAAAATAAAATGAATTAAACAGAATGGAACAGCCATGTCGGGCACTGAAGTATCCATGGTAACATAGAATGAAACAGAGAGCCATGCTGTAGGGCACTGAAGTATCCATGGTAACAGAATGAAACTAGGAGCCATGCTGTCGGGCACACTAACAGTAATATTCCTATGCACTTACAAGTATCCAATCAATCACACATCCATCATGTCAGCAGTGGTAATAAAACAAAATGTAAACTGTAGCAATGGTTATAGTCCGAGCTGGAGAAGTGGAGACCACCAATCTGTAGAACTGTGCGGTGCTTGTGTTCTGTGTCAATTTTCAAACAAGTATTCTCTGTGTGTAACCATGGTAACAAGGTATAGCCCGATGAAACAAGATAATAATTTGGGGAAGGCCAAATTGTTTACTCCTTGATTATGGGATCGATCTAAGATAACAAAAAAGGCAGTGGTTGAAGAATAAAAATAAAATTGCAAAAACACATTTTCAACAGTAGTCCCTTTAGATGATCAAAATGTAAAACACAATGTGGGTTGGATGATGTAATCAAAGAGTTCCCACACATTTTTTTTCAATTACTGAAATGTGTGAACAGATTTCCGGGGAAGAGAAATTATTGTTCCCCTTATAACGCCATCTCAGCATCCACATTTGTTGGCAAGACAAATAATCCTCCACAAACCAAACTGTCTTGGCCTCAAAACTATTAGGAGTCCAATTTTGACTAACTATTGGTTTCCATCATCCTACCGCTTGAGATTCGTACTCCTCCATCATGTAAATAAGGGCAAAACAATTTTCATGTCTTACCAACAAACCTGCCTTAAGCAAAAATTAACAAAATATCTCAAAATTGCATTACATTATATCAAATATTTTAACATTATATCAAATATTCTAACATTATATCAAATATTCTAACATTATATCAAATAATCTAACATTATATCAAATATTCTTATATTAGTTATAACGAAAACATAATAATCATAATACTGTCTTAACCTTACTTCAAGAGGTTTTTTTCAACCCTGATTTATTCTGCTCTTTTTAAAAGTTGTCAAATGAGAATAGAGACGATGGAACTAATAAAAATAGGTCCAGCCTTAATTACACATGTTCTGTTCCCACTGTCACCATGACAACAAGTAGAATCCAATGTCCATCACTGTCTTTTAGAACTTTTGGCACTTTGTGCATTGTCCAATCACATTTCGCATCACATCTAATATGGTTCAGGGGGTGGCGCAGAGGCTTTCTGCAAATATGATTGGTCCGTTCCTCCTGTGTATCCGGCAGAGTCCATTTTATGTTGAGGAGGTTGCCACTGCTGGTCAGCTGTTGCCATGGGATACGGAGCAGGTCCAGGAGGGTAGCCTGAATGTGGTGGCCCAGGATACGGGGGTGGAGCTGTTCAAACAGAAACATTAGACAAATACAGGGTTTTACCTTGACTTACAAAACTGGGGATACAGGGTTTTACCTTGACTTACAAAACTGGGGATACAGGGGACCCTCAATAATTAACTTCAAGGGTCCTGTAAAGTACTGTACTATAAACTTTGATAATTATCTCAATTAAAGAGCCTTAATATTTCTTGTAAAGACGTCCCTACACACAATATTATTGTGCGACCCAATATATATTTTTATAGGTGATGCACATTTCTAGATTGTGTAAAACCCTTGAATATATACATGATAATAGGTGGTGTGACATGAAATTGGGCATAACGTTGCAGTCAAGATTATTGCATTTATATTGTGACAAGTGCGTTTGCTTGCACTAGTGCGGACTAATGATGGTCTTGTAGTACCAGCCATGAGATACCAAGCTGAGTTTAATGTGAATGCCATACTCAGACACAAAATACAGACTCCCAAATCGATCTGTTTTAGTATGCTGAGCGCCAGGCTGGGTAACAACAAGTACCATCGTTTCAAATCTTTTGGCATAACGGAGCTGGGGATCGAATCACCGTCCACCCTCCTATACATACATAGTTTCCCTTATATGTGGTTCAGTGTTCAGTGGAGCATCTTCATTATAATGAGACTTTTTACTCTAATATGAGACCTGTGAAGATCCAGGGTAGAATAGGTCTTCAGCAACCCATGCTTGCCGTAAAAGGCGACTATGCTTGTCGTAAGAGGCGACTAACGGGATCGGGTGGTCAGGCTCGCTGACTTTGTTGATGCATGCCATTGATCCCAATTGCGTGGATCGATGCTCATGATGTCAATCACTGGATTGTCTTGTCCGGAAGTGTCCGATTATTTACAGACTGCAGTCATATTGCTGAGTGTGGCGTTAACCCCCTGGATGCCAGAGGGACATATATGTCCTTCCTCTACAACCCTCATTTTGAAGTCGAATAAAATTCAAAATACATCACCAACACAAATACACTTCACAATTTTGAATAAGGTGGGACATTTCCTGTTCTGTGATATCATCCACTGGCATTTTAGGCCAAGCAAAAGTACTGAAAATGACCTCTGAAAATTAGGTACATTGTAAATGTCGCCATTTTTTACACATTACTAAATCACCGCTCACGGCGTTATTTACAGCATGTTTTGAAATCTATATTTAGGATATCTACTCGGAGAAATGAATTTCAAAAATACCATATTAGTGATCACAGGTATCTGTCTTTTATGAAAACACCAATGATCATTCCAAAACGTCTCCCATAACCCGAGAATCGTTTAGAATGTTTTGGAAAATACGCAAACACGAACACCGAAGTGAACTTTTTGCCATATTGGCTAGTGTTTACAAAATCACGTTTCAGGTACACCGGTTATGAGGCGCCTGTAACATGGCGTATATGTCAAACTTAGCTGCCATACACACATCCTTGAATTCCTCATACATTTTAGGATCAAATGACCAATGGTCTCTGTCACCAATACAAAGTGGCTGGATGAAATCAAGCAAAATATGTTAGGTGTGAAAACGAACGCTGTCCTCGAAAAACTGCACTTGTTTGAAATGTAAACAAAGCAAAATTCAGATTTTACACAGTGTAGAATTTTCTCCTATTTTGAGCTATCCATTCGTCTATTCGTTCAAGATATAGGCTCAACATTTTCAGAATATGCATGGGAAGAGAATTGTAGGAAGAATTAGGGAATTTAAAATAGATACATTGCAATGATTTTATATTTTCAACAGAAGTTGTCAAAGTTACCGTTCTGGTTGACGCCATGACTGACGCAAAATCACGCACAACGACAACGGTATTTATCGGAATTTCTGACTATTTCCGTTTGTTTCAATGAAAATTATGACAACAAACAACAGTACATAGATTGTCAGAATGTTTCTGATTACTTACATGTCACATTTATGTTTATACGATCCCTGAATCAACGAAAGTCCCCTGGTACAATCCTGCGTACTGTTGACAGTGTACACGCCATTTTGTAAAAGTGTGACAGGTAGTGATGTCATACGTCAACATTGTTGTACATATTTGGTAATTTCACTGAGGTGAAGGTCCTTGAATGAGAGTGCACACGATCATTGTATCATGCTGTTTACAGTTTCAGTTATGGTGTATATTTTGCATGTCTTTTATACATTTTTTCACACAATTAATTTCACTTTGGATATTTGTCAATGTTCAAAATGAAATCATACGTACATATAGGCCACAACATTTATGAACGAACCTTTGATACTCTCCTGTTTGTTTGAACATTGTTTACATAAGAATGTGATAGGTCTATAGTGTCGACTACGATATTTCTTATTTCCTTTGGACAAGTGTTACAAGATGAAGTGTAAATGTAACTGCAGCATGTACGTATTTCTTTGGATGTGTAATAAGTCAATATTATAAGATCATATAACCAATGTCCATGAATAGCCGTTTCATTTTATTTTATAACTAAAACTGATTATATTACTTTAACAAAATGGATAATATTTTTCGGTAAAATATATGCACACATTTCTATAATGTCTTGGTCTTGGAATTGTCTTTTATGTCGTTAGATACAGAGAAAAGTGATATCTAACGATTCGCCAGGTGCGCGTTAGTCACAAACAATTTACGAATTATTCCTCTCGTTTTGCATTATATAATCAATGGTTTCATTCTTTTGTCAATATTGTGATCACAGGATAGTAAACAGTTTACTTTATTTCTCCAGGAATTGTAAAATGTATAAAAATAAAACCCATGCCAGGTACCCCGTTGGTTCAACCGTATACGATTATCCTGATAATTCTATACCAATAGAGCTTTCTTTGCATCTTTTATTGTGTAAGAAATAATAACATAATAATGAACAAATATATGTCCAATATTGAATATATGTTTGGTTGTTTTGAAATATTCTTTTGGGAATTTTATTACGTAAATTTATGCTAAACAGGTGCGTGTCTTGTCCAATAAAGATACACGATAAACTATCTAATTGTTAAAAGGAATGGTTTTATTTTTAGAGTATTTCATTACATTTGATGATAAGGCTTGTGCTTCATTGATAATGATGCAACATTAGTCAAATTACACTTACACAATCAGGAGAATGTTGGAATCTAAGGACTAAGTTATAGGTTAGATAAGGCCATCCATTTCTCTATTAACTCCTTTTTAATGAAGTACGATTTCATAATTTCTTATGGTTATATTTTATAACTAAACGTGTACAGTTTCAATATCGATATTTGTGTTGGAATAGTTTGGTTCCTCCTGAACAAAACACCACGAAAATACATTGTCCTTACCCACAGCTAATTCTCACCAAGTGACCTGAGTTACAACAAACTAGAGCTAAGCATAGCGGAGTTATGTCCCCTTTTCTTTGTAGGTGTGAAATCTCTCTGTCACCTTTTGACGTCATAGAGAAAAAGCAGTTTTCGTCATTTACGGCATGCTATTTTTGGAATTGAATGTATGTCGTTATACAAACGCATATAACTCCATTTGATATGTAGTTATGTCCTTCAGATATTAGGCAGTATTTTGTTCGCTCACAGATTCCGTAAAGCTTCTTAATTAAAAAAATTGTCGCACAGTACTTTTATCGGTGTACGATAAAAAGCGGAGAAATTTACTGTTTTTCAACGCAGAATATATTCTCGGACAACACTTAGGAGTGTCTTTTTTTGTAAACCGGTTTGATATTTACAGTTAAATTTACACCATCAAATAGGAAATTTAATATTCTTCATCTCTGCGTAATTTTATAGCCAGAGGTAGATCCAGTGCCGGGTGAGCGCAATTCTCGCACAACCTTCACTTTTCCGATCTTAGGAAAATGTGCGTCAGAAAAAAAACTCGGCATCCAGAGGGTGAAACAACAAACAAACAACTCTAATATGATACGCATCTACGTCAAAAACTTTGACTGACTAATCTAAGTGAATGATGTGTGGGTTCTTGAGCCAATCAGAGGTCAGCTTTCAAAAACGATTCAGCTTCATGTTCATTTCCTTACCACCTTCATTTGGAAATTCCAATCACCACAGAACATAGATATACCCTTGATATTTTCTCTTGCATTCAGAAATAAAATTTAATAAATTTGGTTTCGAGATACAGAAATCAGATATGCTCGTCTGATGTGAGGTCTTGTGGAGGTCCCTCACAGACGTATCACATCAGAGTAAACATGTTAAAGATGAGATTTATAGAGATTGATGCACTGATCAAACCTCTGCCCAGGAATATAAATGGGAGATAGCCATGTTGTTTGTTTATTGTTTAACGCTGCGCGCAGCAATATTCCAGCTTATGGTGGCGGTCTGAAAATAATCGAGTCTGGACCAGACAATCTAGTGATTAACATCATGAACATTGATCCATGCAATTGGGATACGATAACAAACATTAATTTAGACAGCGAGCATGACCACCTGATCCCGTTAGTAGCCTCTTTCGACAAGCATAGTTGCCTCTTACGGCGAGCATGGGTTGCTGAAGACCTATTCTATCCCGGATCTTCACAGGTCGAGATAGCCATGTGGTACTAGTGACCTATTCTGTCTTGGAAAGTCCATGAGCATGGGCATCAAGAGTGCGTGTTGGTTAACGCTCAACTCAGCAATATTCCAGCAATTAGAGTATGAAGGTGGCCTGCATATAATCAAGTCTGGATCAGACAATCCAGTGATTGACATTATTGGAAATGATCCACGCTGTCTAGGCACAATGACACGTTGTCAACCGACTCTGACCACCCAATCCACAGTTTCCTCTTTCAGCCAGTGGGTCCCCATGGGGTGGAAATTAAGAAATTTACAATTTTGGGAAACAAGAATTGAACAGCACTATCTACCTTGTCCTGGGGGTGGCTGAGCTGGATAGTGTTGGTAGTTGACAGGCTGCTGTGGCATCGGCTGCTGGGCTGGGTACATTATCGTTGCATTGGCTGGGTATGATGTTGTTGTTGTTGTAGTTGTCGCTTGTGGAGCAGGCGAGTACAGCGTGCGGCCCGTGTACCCTCGTCGACGACGACACACGCAGAAACAGACGAGGATGACCACGATAATTATCAGCACTATTATTCCTACGATGATGCCTATGATGGCTGTCATTGTCACTGAGGCAGCCCTTTCGATATCTGGGAACAAACACACAATGTACAGTTGTCATGCTTTTGAATGATGTGGCAGGGGTAGTCAGGTGATCATATTGTATAAGGTCACAACGCATGTAATTACAGTGCGTAACCAATTTGTTTGGGTGGTTACCATGGTGATGCTGGGATGTGTTTGGGTATAATGTTTTCAGAAGCTGGAAATTTTGTTCAAGCACATTTCCACATAAGAATTGAAAGAAGAAGGAAGAAATCCATATTGTGAACAAGGATAAGTTTCAAAATTCATTGGTTATCAATTAGGGTTAGATTTTATTTTATTTTCTCTAGTCCACAAAATTTATCTTCTACAGAGTTGCCATCACCCTAATGGTAAAAGAAGTAGTCCACATGGAAATGTCACTAGTCCTTCCTGAATTTTACTAGTCTCGGACTAGCGGACTTATGTTAATAAGAAATTTCAAACCGTGTTGATATTGTGAGGATTTTTGAGACATTACATCAATTGTCAGCATTCTTACTTTTATCATAATTTGACTTGTATACAGAAAGCCAGAGTGACAGGGAGAGGATCTCCACTTAATCTTTATAAAATATAAGTCCTACTATTTACATCCGGGAACGTCAGGGAGTTTAATAACGCAGTGCAGTCAGTCAATAAAACATGTCTTTCTCAATTTGGTACGATCCTTAGAATATCCACCGCCAATGGTGTACAAATAAATCACAGCCATAGAAAACCCCAAGCTAAGTACAAGTACACGATCATGCCACGCTCATTAATGGCACTTTATTACATTTAATACAAGAACACAATTATAGATCAAATTCAAATATTTAGTATCATTCACCCAGATTCTATTTAGTAGGACCTTAAACATGATAAAAGATATTTTCAAAATGTGAAACAACAAACTATAAACTTCACATTCAAAAGAATTAATGTGAATCATTTTTGTGCAGTTTCAGATCAGTTCATTTTATCATATTTAAATACAAAATTCTTTTATATCATTATCAAATTTGCAAAATTCTTCACGACGAATGATAAGCCATTAATAGTATTGGTATAATGTCCTCATGCCATTTGTTTCTAGAAAAACCACTGGAAGTGACTCACATACCTTTAGGGACAACTTTATGTTTCATGCTTTCTCAAATGATTTCGTAGATGAAGATGAAATATATCAATGAAACAGTCAAACACATAAATCATCACTTCCCATGAATAGTATGAGGCTGTCACGTATAAATCGGTATATGGTCTCTGATTTCATCTGCAGTTTCAGTTTCGCTTGGAACAGCTGATGAATTCCTGGGGTTTCCCAGAACAGTGACTAAGTGAGATTGAGAATGATTAGGCTATATGAGTTTATCAACTCTGATAAATTAACAATTCTTGAATAGTCACCATCTATCCCAGCAGGTATGAGGGTTCAGTTGTCTTATAAACTGAAATGTCATTCTGGCAATGATAAAACATATAGAACTTAAAAATCAACATGGTTCAGCTTACAGTCTTCGTCGAAATCGAGCAACTTTCGGGCAGCCATATTGTGAATCTCAGTCGAAAGTGGAACTTATTGCCTGTAAAAGGTTTTGAACACCAAGAATATAACTTGTTTTTCTCTCTGCTTATACGAGAGACATAGAGCGCATATCATTTGACCAAGGCCATAGACCTTCTTCCGTGAATAGATCTTTTACATTGGTAACAACAGCGCCCTCTATGTATTGATGGTTAGTACAAAAAGTAAAACTGGTTTGTGAAACGAAGTAATTAGCACGCCCGCTGAAACAGAAACAACTGAAAATAATTACTGGGGAAATTTTGGTGAAAGTTACGTAAAGGACTGATTCACAAAACTCATATCAATCACAGAGTTCTGAGTCATTTCATATAATGTTATTAAAAAACCCCAAACCTTACAGATAAGACCCGTGAAGATCCGGGGTAGAATAGGTCTTCAGCAACCCATGCTTGCCGTAAAAGGCGACTATGCCTGTCGTAAAAGGCGACTAACAGGATCGGGTGGTCAGGCTGGCTGACTTGGTTGATACATGTCATCGTGTCCCATATTGCGTGGATCGGTGCTCATGATGTCAATCACTGGATTGTCTGGTCCAGACTCGATTATTTACAGACCGCCGTCATATAGCTTGAATATTGCTGAGTGCGGCGTAAAACAACAAACCAACCAACCAACCCTACAGATAACTTGTGAGTTTTGAATGACTTGAATCAAACATGCTAAGACCAGGTTACATTATGACAGCTATGACCGACAAAATATTGAGTCGAGTGTCATTTATGTATCAGCTTTCAATTACATAAATCATCGTGTGGGTCTAGATCTATCTTGTAATCATATTCACCCCAAAAGGCGTCTCTGTAAAAATGATAATGATGCTTGAGATTTTACGGGAGCTTGCGGTAGAGCCGATTTCGCACTCTGACAGATATATACTGGTACCAGCAAATATGTTGACAACACTCTGCATACATAATTACATAAACGCATTATGAGATCGAATGGTTCTCAATTTCTCACTGAAAATAGCGACGAGTGTAGTCTTGTTTTTAATTAAAAAAATATATGCCATATTTCATATCAGCAATACCTAATTTTGTTTAAATTTAACTAATTATGTACAGGCTATTAACGGCCATAGATCTTTTTTTAACCAACTTGCAACTGTTACTTTATGTAATGTTTTAAAGAGGTCAGTCGTTTTCTTCACTGTTAGTAAGTAACCCGTTGAAGTGCAGAATGTAAGGTAAACACAGTTACAGTAGGTTTCTGTAAGTTAACATTACAAGTATTGTCTATTTGTATTTACCTATAAATTAAACTAAATCCCTTACTAAAACCGATCTTCCATTTTCGTTTTTACCTGAGAATAGAATTTAGTAAGAGCTCGCACTTGTTCCATCTTAATTTCCAGGATGACATTTTTACTATCTTTTCAGGGACGATAACGCTACCACTTCCGGTTTTATGTCAAACGTGAATTTGACAGACAAAGACGAGACAATGTTATAGCGAATCCGCCTGTTCTCATGCGTCGCGGGAACCAAGTCTTGCTCTATGCAGTTTTAGGACAGAGAATGTGTCACACATGACGTCGGGCACATTGTGGCAAATTTTTCTTTAAAAATGGCAGCACGTTACTGTGCAGTTTGATGTGACTCACATCTCACATTTTATTTTTTAACCCGGCGTTGAACCGGCATCACTTGGGTTTTCAACGATTTTCCAGCGTGTTGTGCAGTGATTGTACCTTGCAACAAATGTGTTGCGGATTTTATTTTACTTGATATTACATATATGTGTGACCGACGTGTAAAATGATGCGAAAATTAGCAGCAACAGATTTTACAAGTACTACAGGCTACTTCGATGACAGTTGTAAGTATTTTTCCATATTTTCGCTATCGTAGTGCATTTACCGCCATGTGTGCATTTCTTTAACAGGCTTTTGCGGAGGATAAATGTATAGCTTTGGGCTTTTGTTTGAAAGTGTGCTTATAATGAGGAATTCTTGATGCAGGTTATGTGTATCCTTCTAATATTATTTCAGTTTAATTGTCATGTTTGTCATGGTAATTATAAACAAATCTACAAGGAGAAAAACAATAACATGTTTTGAACATTTTTGTATGGTTTCAAGAATTAATTCAGAAGTCTTAACATTTCACCCATCTTGTTCAGCGTTGTTTTGTACTTGAAAGTAAGTGTCTGCATTGCTATCATTTTCTCATTTTGATGCATATTTTGAAACCCTCCAAGATATGACAACATACCTGACCAGGCTGTGTATAGTTTCCTTGGCAACATACAAGATTAATACAGTGAACATGTTGAAATTAGCTGTATGGGTTCTCCTGGTTTGAAAATAACCAAGTTAGTAAAGGTCTGAAGGTGTAATGTTGGTAATTACATGGATTTATCTAGGATTCATATCTAAGTGCCTGGTTCGCAAATTTGAACAAAATCGTTATTTTGTTAAAAATTGGGGTTTTGTAAAAGTTCATATTTTCTTAATTCCGAAGTGTTTTGAGATTGCACATTTAATGCAATAATATAAAACCTGTTCCTATTTATTGGTCTTGCTATAACTTGTATAAGTGATCACAGGTTACTTGTACAAAGCCATGAAATTAGTTACATATATAGAAACATGGTAACATGAATTGGGAAATGTTTAGTTCCAAATTGGAAATTTTTATTGACATCTGCTGCAGACTTGTGGCCGAATATCGGCCTCTGAGCAGGTCTAGATAAATCCCTGAATTATTAGTAATGACAGATCATAACATGGTACACAGTCTTCAAATTAACGAGGATCCAGATGTCCTTGACGTCTGCTCCTATCGCATTTGAAACTGTATGGACCCCTGACTCTTAACACTAGGGACTAGGGCTATGAAAAGGCCCCCTTTACTTTCAAGTTTCATGCTTGATTTGAAACATTGGCTGTATAATTACGTATACATTATTGGTCATAGATAATTTACAAATACATGTATCAGAGTTTGAAATTAGGGATGAGGGTCTGGCCCTTCGGTGTTTGAATCACGGGAGTCTCTTAAATTTGAACTTTTAGCAAGAGTGTCATGACATGATCATCATGTAAGTGTAAGATTACTTCATCATGTTCATAGTTGTGATTAGTACCTGGGTGCAGTTAGAAGTGGTTAGTATCAGTGTGCTATTAGCAGTGATGACTGCTTCTGTGAGATTGAGATATTATTTCAAAATGATCAAAATGATCCAGGATAACCAGTCAATAATTAAAACTAATAGACTATACTGTATAATAAACCCAGACTGAATGTAAAATGTTTGAAAGGTTTGAAGGTAAATGTAAACATGATAACCTTTATGGATATATTTATTAATCTTTCTAGATGGTCATTGTGTGCTGCAAGTTTATATTATGATTGATGAAATGTGGTTTTCAATAAAGCATTTGACTTGTCTAAAAAGCACCCGCTCTTTCTGAAAACAGAAAATACAGAACCATTCTCTTTTTAGTTATTTGCTAAGATTAATGCCGCTAAAAATGTTATTCCAAATTCATTTCTTGCAAGTGTTAAAGGTAAGAAAACCAACTCATATCACAGTATTAATGAAATACCATACAATTAATGAGTATATCACATGACCTGACATAGACATATTGGTTCAAACATATCTTATTGACAATCAATAGGTTTGGTAAGGATGAGCGTACTTGATTCTTTCCTTGTCAAAAGTACAGAAAGATTAGTATGTCAATACATGCAATAAAAACTATTTACTACAAACATAATTGTACACAAAAGTATAAAATAGTTGTATCTATTGGTTGACAGAATATAATGTACAGTTTTATAAATGAATTTGTTGAATCTTCATGCTGTCATATGCTTTTAGCATATTCTGGTCACCCTTTACATGATATTTATAAAATTGGATGCGAAATGTGGAAAATTCATGTAATAGTAATCTACGAGATCTTATGTAACTATGACAGACGACTATTGTCAGTGCAGATAATGTTGTTAGCATGGCACTGGAAGGCAGTGAGGCGGTTCTTCGATATTGGAAGAAAATCTGGTGATATCAGTCTGCCAAGAGCTACTGAGTCTACTATCCTGAACATATCTCTTAGCAACATTTTCAGTAGCTTTTAGCATTATCATATATAGAGAATCTCCCCCGAGTGTCTTTTGATATCAAATATATCAACACGAGTTGATAAAAGTGGAAAAATTCTGAGGCTTGCCGAGGATTTTTGTCACTTTTATCAACGAGTGTTGATATGATATCAAAAGACACTCAGGGGGGATTTTATTTATCATTCCACATCATTCTTCCAACTTTTTCAGTTTGTAGACAGTAATTAGCAGTGTCTCCAGTGTAAAAAGTACTGCTAACAGCTTCAGTAGCAGAGCCATTAGTGATGTCAGTTGATTGTGACGTCATGGTAACCAATGACGTCGCAATGGTCTGCAAAGCATTGTGATGCAATTCTTGATCTCACCCAAGCATGTCTCCTGTGGGAGCCAGTTTTGGATGATAAGGACTATTCTAAGATGTTTGGCTAAAAGATCGTAAGAGGCAGCAGTACTTTATCCTGCGATAAAGTACAGTTATTGAGCTTCATCATAATGGGTTGAAGTCATGACACTGATCAAATTACCTCCCCTGTGATCTAACATACCCTTGGTAACATTACTCTGTCAATCAAGATGGCGTATCCGCATCAATATTATCGATAAGATAGTTTCCTAACATGAGTCTGATAAGACCACCATGGATGTAGGTGTCTCTGTGCTTTAACTATAATATGTCAGGGTAAAACTACACTTTATTACACTACACATGGGAGTAGAGGAACCTTATTTTTCTTAATTATTTGCTGAGCATATTAGGGCAAACATAATTCTAACCATGCTAACGTCAACAGCAGAAAATTCCAAATACTGTATTCGACATAATAAGCGCCCAGGGCGCTCTCAAAATTAGAAATAGGGGGCTCTTATTAGAATAATATTTTGGTGAAAAACAACAGAGTTGAAAGATCGTAAATTTTGTGGTTTTTGCTGACAGCCTGAAATGTTTATATACCACAGTTATATTTTCCCAGAATTTTATTTCCCACGATTAAGGATGCATATAACACACATATTTTACGCGAATAAATAAGTCTTGTGTACATTGATCAATTGCATGAATCAATGCTCATGTCAATCATTGGATTGTCTGGTCCAGTCTCGATTATTTACAGACCACCGTTATATAGCTGGAATAGTGCTGAGTGCTGCGTTAACAAACAAACAAATACCATATTAGACGTAATAAGCGCCCTGCTCTAATAAGCGCCCAAGGCGATATTTGCCAATATATTGGCTAGTGAACAATCTCAATTAGCACCCCTTCCAAGTGGTTTACGTACACAAGACTTATTTATTTGTGTATAATACGTATTCGTATGTTATATGCACCCTTAATTATGGGCAATTAAATCCTGGAAAAATATTTCTGTTGTATATAAACATTTCAGGCTGTCAGCATAAACCACGAAATTTACGATTTTTCAAGAAATACAGAGCCTAGAACTAACTCCCAGCTTGGCTGGGAGATCCATGTCCTTGATAGCTGGTACATGCAGTAAACTGACCTGTCAATCAACTCCAGCATGTGCAGATAAAAATAGGTCATTTCATTTAACAGACACTCAGATTTTTCATAATTTCATGCTTGCATTAATTTCATGAATTACTTGTTTTCTGTATAAACCCATGAGTCTAAAATTTGGTTTCTTTCAAACAAAATAAAGCTGGTCAAAATGTCAACCAACCTATCAGATTAAATTTTTATTAGTTTTGAAAAAAACCAGTACACAAATGTATAAAAAGTTTTACATTTTCTTATCATGCTTATAGATGAACATTTTGTCCATATGTACAATGTAGTTAAAAAAGTTAAGTTAAAAACTTTTAATTATACATTAATGCTAAACTGTAAAAATGGTGAGTGATTTCATAGTTTGTGTGTTGTTTAATGCCACACTCGGCAATATTCCAGCTATAAGACGGTGGTCTGTAAATAATCGAGTCTGAACCAGACAATCCAGTGATTGACATCATGAGCATTGATCCACACAATTGGGATACGATGACATGCATGAACCAAGTCAGTGAGCCTGACCACCCAATCCTGTAGTGTTAGTCGTCTTTTGCGGCAAGCATGGGTTTCTGAAGACCAAAACTTCCCCTGATCTTCACGGGTCGGTGATTTCGTAACCATTTTTATTGGTGCAATACTAAACATAAAAGTTTGAATTTCGTAGGTAGCTGATAAGTTTGCCCCATGCAATAGTGTGCACACTGACCCCTTTCTGTTTATGGGAAAAATAACATTAAATAATTTAGACTTTACAAATTCTCATTTTAGAAAAAAAAGTTGAATGCTCTGAACAATGGCCATGGGAAATCCTTAACCCTGTGAAAACCCTGTGAAAATGACACCTGACATGTTTACATTTAGGTAAACTGATATACATATTGTTACTTTGTTCTTGTTGGGTTTTGTTATAAGTCTTCATACTCTCATGCATGCAACATGCTATAAAAAAAGTATTCATAGTTCAAATTTAACAACATGTCAACAGTTTTATGAAGAAATGTAGGAGGTAACAGCCTGAATCACAATATAAGCCCATGTAGACATTCCAGGTTAAAATACGTCCCCAGCAACCTATGCTGGTCGAAAGGGACGACAAAAAGGATTGGGTGGTCAGGCTTTCTGACTTGGATGATTCTGTATGATTTAGGGCTGGGACGAGTCCAAATTTACTACCCAGGTACCCAACCCCCTATTACCCGACCCTACCTGGGTACCTGCTGTAGGTCTCAAGAGATAGGCACAAAATGTCCAATTGGGAATTTTTTACCATAGTCCTGGCAAAACATATTTAGATACATGTATTAAACAATCTGGTCATGCACACACTGAAGTTGACTAAAGTTATATAAAAAATATGTAAAGTCAGAAGGAATGGATGCATAGTCAGAAAGAAATGCCAACATTAGTGACTTATAGTGTAACCACAGAGTTCTTGATAATTTTTGTCATTAAACAATATATCACGTGACTAACCACAAGTCCGGGTAGTCCAATGGGTACCTGGGTCCGACTCGTTACCTACCCAAACTGGGTACAATATTTACGGGATTTTACCCGTCCCTGCCCTAGTATGATTGTACCTAACCCGCATTGATTGTTGCTCACTATATCGATCACTGCATTGTGTGGTCCAGGTTCGATTAGTCTATGTATGCTGAAAGAATTGCTAATAGACTTCATGTTTGGACTACCAGGAGTGAGTGCTACTAAGCGGCCATTATTTGCATGATTTATTCCCTGGTGTGGCTGGAATGGGATGTTTGTCAGATGGGATACTTTTTTCTGTTCCCTTTTCAAAACACGAATTTTTTATATGAAAAGAAGAGCTAAACAACTGACAAGAGTTTCACATGACATATTTTTCAGAAGATCCAGCATTGTCAGCGAACATTTTTTAAGCGAAACCTGACAAATTATTTATAAGTTATTTTTTTCAAATACATTCCAGGCCCCAAATGGTTGGTTGCCTTTGAACAGATGTTTGAATGTGTCTATCTTTGTCCTGTTACAGACTACAATGACAGCCCCAGGGAACTACAATCAGGGCCATCTCTGGTTCTCATTGTGGGCCTCACCATGGCGTTTGTGGGAGCAGCCATCTTGATAGTGGTCATCTGCTGCGTGTGCAGGAAGCGACAGCCTCCAGATTCCCAGGGGGCCATGTACGAGCGGGCAGCGACGTCGGACGGCCAGAGCGTGGTCACCTCCTACCCCCTCGGTCCAGTGACAACAGGTAGTGCTCCGTCCACCCAGTCTGGCATGACAGTGTCCAAGACAACGTCAACCGCTGCGTCTCAAATGTCCAGTGGAGGTAGGCTGGTCTCTGTCAAGAGTCTCGCTTTACTAACCATTGCTGCAGCCATTTGTCGCTCCTTGAATGTGGGGAGTTGCGGCAAAATGGGTCCTCAGTGCTTCCTGCTTGTCTGTCACTAAGTCTTGGGATTTGGGGCACAGTGCACAAAAGGACTTCAGTGCTACATGCTTGTGCCACAATCGTGGGGATTAGGGGCAGAATAGGTCCTCAATGCTTCATGCTAGTCTCTCCTTGAGTGGGGATTTGGCACACAATAGATCCTCAGTGCTTCATGCTTGTCTCTCCTTGAGAGGGGATTAGGGGCTAAATAGGTCCTCAATGCTTCATGCTAGTCTCTCCTTGAGTGGGGATTTGGCACACAATAGATCCTCAGTGCTTCATGCTTGTCTCTCCTTTAGAGGGGATTTGGCACATAATAGATCCCGAATGCTTCATGCTAGTCTCTCCTTGAGTGGATTCAGGGCAGAATAGGTCCAAAATGCTTTTTGCTTGTCTATGTTATGTAATATCAAGTCAATGTTCATGTTGTTAGTTGAATTTGTACCGAATCATGCGTATAATCGTATTGTATAATCATATCTAACAGCCCTAATGTCTCTGCTTGATGGTATTCCCGGGCAGAAAAAATACAATGTACAGCATGCTTGTGTTAATCCCTATGTGTTGCGAGTGCCTGATGCTTGTCTCTCCCCTATTGGTCGCTATATGGCTGAAATAATGCTGATGCGACGTTAAATTTTAACTCACTCACTCTCCCCTATTGGGGTTCCAGGCCAGATAACCCTATATGTGCCTGATGCATGTCTCTTCCCATATTGGGGTTCCAGGCCAGATAACCCTACACGTGCCTGATGCTTGTCTCTCCCCTATTGGGGTTCCAGGCCAGATAACCCTGTATGTGCCTGATGCTTGTCTCTCCCCTATTGGGGTTCCAGGCCAGATAACCCTATATGTGCCTGATGCTTGTCTCTCCCCTATTGGGGTTCCAGGCCAGATAACTCTGTATGTGCCTGATGCTTGTCTCTCCCCTATTGGGGTTCCAGGCCAGATAACCCTACATGTGCCTGATGCTTGTCTCTCCCCTATTGGGGTTCCAGGCCAGATAACCCTACATGTGCCTGATGCTTGTGTCTCCCCTGTTGGGGTTCCAGGCCAGATAACCCTACATGTGCCTGATGCTTGTCCCTCCCCTATTGGGGTTCCAGGCCACGTCACCCTATATGTGCCTGATGTTTGTGTCTCCCCTATTGGGGTTCCAGGCCACGTCACCCTATATGTGCCTGATGCTTGTCTCTCCCCTATTGGGGTTCCAGGCCAGATAACCCTGTATGTGCCTGATGCTTGTCTCTCCCCTATTGGGGTTCCAGGCCAGATAACCCTGTATGTGCCTGATGCTTGTCTGTCCCCTATTGGGGTTCCAGGCCAGATAACCCTGTATGTGCCTGATGCTTGTCTCTCAACCAAGGGATTCCTGCCTGGTGGCTTCTAGAGGTGCCTGCTTGTCTCACCCTAGGGTATGCTAGTCCTGGTAACTCCTATCGGTGGTTCATGCTTGTCTCACCCTAGAGTATGCCAGACCTGGAAAATCCTATAGGTGCTTCATGCTTGTCTCGCCTCTAGGGTGTGCCAGGCCAGGTAGCTCCTACATACGCCTGCTTGTCTCACCCTAGGGTATGCTAGGCCTGGTAACTCCTATAGGTGCCTCATGTATGTCTCTCCCCTGGGGTATGCCAGGCCTGGTAGCTAGCTCCTATAGGTGCCTCATGCTTGTCTCTCTCTAGGGTATGCCAGACCTGGCAGTTCCTATAGGTGTCTCATGCATGTCTCTCTCTAGGGTATGCCAGGCCTGGTAGCTAGCTCCTATAGGTGCCTCATGCTTGTCTCTCACTAGGGTATGCCAGGCCTGGTAGCTAGCTCCTATAGGTGCCTCATGCTTGTCTCTCACTAGGGTATGCCAGACCTGGCAGTTCCTATAGGTGCCTCATGCTTGTCTCTTCCCTCGGGTATGCCATGCCTGGCAGTTCCTATAGGTGCCTCATGCTCGTCTCTCCCCTCAGAGGGGCGGTCGGGTAGCCTAGTGGTTAAAGCGTTCGCTCGTCACGCCGAAGACCCGGGTTCGATTCCCGACATGGGTACAATGTGTGAAGCCCATTTCTGGTGTCCCCCGCCGCGATATTGCTGGAATATTGCTAAAAGCGGCGTAAAACTATACTCACTCACTCTCCCCTCAGATATGCCAGACCTGGTAGCTCCTATAGGTGCTTCATGTTTGTCTCTCCCCTCAGATATGCCAGACCTGGCAGTTCCTAAAGGTGCCTCATGCTTGTCTCTCACTAGGGTATGCCATGCCTGGTAGCTCCTATAGGTGCCTCATGCTTGTCTCTCCCCTCGGGTATGCCAGACCTGGCAGTTCCTATAGGTGTTTCATGCTTGTCTCTCCCCTTGGGTATGCCAGACCTGGCAGTTCCTATAGGTGTTTCATGCTTGTCTCTCCCCTCGGGTATGCCAGGCCTGGTAGCTCCTATAGGTGTCTCATGCTTGTCTCTCCCCTCGGGTATGCCAGGCCTGGTAGCTCCTATAGGTGTCTCATGCTTGTCTCTCCCATCGGGTATGCCAGACCTGGCAGTTCCTATAGGTGTTTCATGCTTGTCTCTCCCCTCGGGTATGCCAGGCCTGGTAGCTCCTATAGGTGTCTCATGCTTGTCTCTCCCCTCGGGTATGCCAGGCCTGGTAGCTCCTATAGGTGTCTCATGCTTGTCTCTCCCATCGGGTATGCCAGACCTGGCAGTTCCTATAGGTGTTTCATGCTTGTCTCTCCCCTCGGGTATGCCAGACCTGGCAGTTCCTATAGGTGTTTCATGCTTGTCTCTCCCCTCGGGTATGCCAGGCCTGGAAGCTCCTATAGGTGTTTCATGCTTGTCTCTCCCCTCGGGTATGCCATGCCTGGTAGCTCCTATAGGTGCCTCATGCTTGTCTCTCCCCTCGGGTATGCCAGACCTGGCAGTTCCTATAGGTGTTTCATGCTTGTCTTTGCCCTTTAGGGGTTCCAAAGAAGAAGATATTTTCAGCACTCATGCTTTTCTCAGTCTTTTAGGTCTTTGTAATCTCTTCTAGACTAGTGTGCATAATACAGCCACTATATGCTCTACAAGCTTGTATGTCAGACATTAGAATGATATTTTGTTGTTTCATGAAGATAATGATGGCACAACTTACACTCAATGTTTTCCTCTCCAGGCCCCCCCATGCCACACCCCCAGCAGCCGGGCCAGATGTACGGAGGCCACCCAGGCCATCCCGGACACCAGCCTTACCCTGGGTACCCTAACGCAGCCAACATGGGGCCCCCTTACATGTACCAAGTCCCCCAGCCTAGCTTCCAGCCTATGACAACTCTGGCAGTATTTGGAGCACCGGACGGGGCACCCCCGGAGAACTCCCAGGCCAACACCTCAGGGGGGGCACCCATGCCATACTCTCTCTACTCCCCCGGGCCGGGCGAGATGAAGCAGCCTTTACCACAAGGGGTGCCACATCATTTACAACAAGAGTTTCAGCGGCAAGTTAATATGGCTGCCCAGCAATACAACACGAACCAACAGCAATCTTCTGAGTTTCCACGGCAACAGGCCACTGCCCCACCCCCACCTGCTCCAATGTAGATATGTTTTAGGCAGCTTTAATGTATTTGAACCTTGTTTGATGACTTCAATTCGTGTATATAGACTTTGTATACAACAGGGGGTGTCACACACCGTATTGACACGTGAGTTTATTGGCCATATTGCTTTATGTGGTTCATATGGCGTATTGCCATGTGAGGTTTATGTTTGATATTGATGTATTGGATTGATATGCCATATTGCTCTATGACTTTGTAGCTAACCTGGACTGAAATTCCAAGTGAGTTTATTTCCACGTCTGTGTATAGTTGCCAGGCATGCTCAACATCTCCTTAGTGTTGATAATTTTTAATGGTTATTTTTTACATTAGATACTCCAGGACCAAACATGGAGTAAATCTACAAGAGTGTTTGTACATACAGAAGTTATCTGTAATTTTTGGTAAACAGTCGGCTGTGAAACAGAAATGGCGTTATTTTGGAATGCTGAAGTAACTGTGGTATTATATGGACCGGTGAGCTAAAAAGTCATGGCGCTGTTTTATATGCTGTATTGCCACTTTAGGTTTTTGTGACAATGACGTGAAGTTTATATGTCACATTAACAAAAGGATTCTAATACCACCCTTCCTTACATATCCATATGGCCATGTGACCAGGTTGTGTCATGTGACAGGTCATGTGACTACAATGATCATGTGACATTATCATGTGATTGCCAATAGATTTGATCATGGTGCTTTTTCATATACCCATTTGGAGTCACAAGACAATATTTTTATGGTGCATGCAAGACTTGTCTCAAACTATATACACCACCCTGTAGCTTTACAGTGTTAATAGCTAATACATCATCATGATAAGCATAAGTGAAAGGACCTACTTGAAGTAGTCATCTTACAAGTGTAGCAATATCATTTAAATCAGACCTTAGTTCTCGCAACGCTAAACAAAGATCTGAGGACATCCCATTATGGGTCACGTCAGACCGACCTTCGCGAACTTTGACTGACCAATGGAATGACCAATCAGAAGGCAGCTTTCTCATGCTTTACGGCACTAATTTGAAATTGGCGACTGCGCTTTGCAACATATTCTCGATTACAAATTTGAAACCTAAACAAAAGAACATTCTGGAATGGCTAATAGATGGTCTAGATTGTATGGATTCAGAACTATCTTTCGGAATACTCCATGTTTCAGTTTTCGAGGTTGTATGATTAGAAATCACATTCCGACTGTCACTTTTATGATCTGGGAAGCGACGCTCTGATAGGCCGGATGAAAGGTCTTCTGACGTGACCCCTAATGGAATGTCTTCAGATCTTTGTTTAGCGGTAGCAAGAACTAAGATCTGATTTTAATGAGATTGACAAGTGTAGAAATAGAGAAATAATGTAGAAAAACTAAAAGGCAGTATATAGTTGCAAAATGTTGAATCCTTGTGTCATGAAGGCAGTTAGACCATTGTATGTCAGGATTTATCTGGCCTTTCACTGATATTTGGCAGAAACTCTTGGTGAAAGTTAAACTTACTCGGCTAAGTTGTTCCAGAAGTGTGAATACAGCTTTTCGAAAAGGAAGGGTGCATTTTGTGATTTGGCAATTGATGTTTAGTAATTTTGTTGGATATCTCACCAAGTGAGTTAGTCATAGTGTTGTTATACATTTACTTTTAGCAATCCACCCAGGAAGTTTCCTAATGTACACATTTTAGTATACTACAAAGAAAGGGGGATAGGTGCGCATCCTGCATTCAGCCTTAGGCTCTGTTTACGTTACATTTGTGGTTTTGAATGACCCAATAGATATGAATTTCCTAAGTAAATATTTCCTGGAAACGACCTTCCTGATTTTATTATTTCAGCTTATAAATGCATATTGTGCTGTTAACTTTGTCCTTGATAATAGTGTGTAATATGTTTCCATTCTAAAATCAAAATTACCTGGGCCCCAATCACTGCCATATCTTCGTTTTGAGCCCAATTTTTACAGCACAATGCTAAAATAGCCGTCCAGTCAGAACATCCTCACAAGCAAGAGAAATTCTGTGGTAAGGAGAGATGGGAGCAATGGAGGTGGTGGCGTCACCTCTGTCACAAGATAGGGTCGTGAATCGATCCATGAGAATGGACATCTAATACCCTGGATAATCGTGGATGAGGATAATCCTGAGAGTGGAATCCTTAGATAAACCCCTGAGAACTTTGTGTAAGACCTTGATACTCCCATACCATTTAAACTCTTTGATAGGCATTTTGAAGTTGATTATGAATGCATGACACTTTTTATGGCTAGCAACTTCTTTTATTCTTTGTCACGACATTTCAGAGCTACGTCTTGCCCCTTCATCGGGTGAATGATCTAATTTACCTGATGAAGGAGCAAGAAGTAGCTCTGAAACGTAAGAAAGAATAAAAGAAGTTGATATCCATAAAAAGTATCCTGGGCCCCGTTCCACAAATCGATCTTAGCGCTACGATCATCGTAAGCCTATGTTAAAGTATGGAGTTACGATCATCTTAGCGCTAATATCGCTTTGTGGAACGGGGCCATGTATCCCATGCTACTTGTACTGCTGTGTACAGTGTCAAGCCAGTGTAATGTTACCTAAGTAGTGTTAGCTTTGCAGAAGGAAGTAGTGGGATTAGTTCAAGCAGTGTAGACAATATTCAAGGTTAAACATTGTTTATATCAATGTTTAATTTCATGTACAGATATTTTTAACTTTTGTACAAAGGTTTGTGTTAATGCCGTTTTAGTCTGTGTCGTTGTCGTCTTCCGTTTTTATCATCATAGATTTGTGTTCTGGATATGAAATACCTCATGACTCGTAGCATTACAGCCAATTATCAAAAGAAGCCAAAATGAGTTTGTATACTTCCACTTGATTTTCATGTATCATTACTTCCAGGGAAACACCACTGCTGGTTGGGGACAATGTCGACAATGATTCTCGTTTGTTTTGGGGCGGTCGGGTAGCCTAGTGGTTAAAGCGTTCGCTCGTCACGCCAAAGACCCGGGTTCGATTCCCGACATGGGTACAATGTGTGAAGCCCATTTCTGGTATCCCCCGCCGTGATATTGCTGGAATATTGCTAAAAGCGGCGTAAAACCATACTCACTCACTCACTCTCATTTGTTTTTGTTTTAAATTAAAACGATTTTTCTTCACTCACAAGGACTACTTGAATCCTGTATTTCCTGTACTCAAGGTCATCATAGTAGTATTTTGATGTACGATCTTGTAAGAAACAAGGTAACATGATTTGGTGATACATTTTCAGTCCTGTTATTAACAAGAGCCAATGCTGTTACACCATGAGAGTGTGACGAATAAAATTTGATTTGAATTTATGTGACAAGCTCAAATTATTGTCCAAATTGTCTTTCCCTAACACAGCAATAAGGAAGCTTGAACTTTGACCTAGAGATTTGTGGTTCTCAGTTCTGCCCCAATGGAGTTACTTCCCTTTGTTTCATTTTCATCTTTGTGTCATAGATGGTAACCAAAGATACTCTCTTTGTACAAATATTTAACCAAAGATTTGTGGTGTGACTTGAAGTATTAGTATAGAGTAATTACGTGCCCATGGTTGGTTCTTAGAGATTATTATAGATCAAGTGTGATGGAGTTGGTCAGTAAATCCCACGTCCTTCATTATCCAGGGTCTTCTCTCCATTCTTTTAGGCCACACCGTTTAAATTTTGTTTCACAGATTTATTCCAGCTTTTTCACACAAGGTCAGTCACAATAAAAATAAAAATAAATTGAATTATTTTTTTCTTTATATGAAAGTCATTCTCCTGAGGATTTGACTGCAGCTGGCTTCTTGAATCACGGATAGTGATGTAGACATGGAATTCATATATAACATTTCAAGTTGTATTAGAGGGTCTATATTACTAGTGGGAGACTTTATAAATGTTTATATGTTCAAATATGTTTAATTTATTTCTTAGACTGGCTGCTTTTCAGTCGGGTCAGGCCTGTGAAACGAAAATAAAAAAAATGTGTGGCCTTATCAGGATAAACACCCTTGACCCATTTACTTGGGTTTCGAAGCCTGATTCGAATGGCATTATGGTAAAAAGAACCATCAAATTAAAGTACCCTCAGGCTGAGAGAGAGAATTTCTGTGTTAAGTTATTGGTGCCAAAAGGGATCAGGATATACGATTCGTATGTCACAATAGAAGGGATGTAGAATACATTGGATAATTGAGGATGTAAATCTATAGGCAAACCAAGCTCAATTAATTCATGTCAATTAAAATATTTGCTAACTACTACTCAAATTATTAAACAAGTTTTTTTTCAATATTTTGTGATACAATTGAAATAGTAATTGGTTCTAATTATTTTATGCACAGTTTTTACCTAAGGTACTGTATTATGATTTATTTTGGTGAGTAGTTTCATATGAATTCAGAAATACATTGTAATTGAAAATTAAATAAATTACATAGGGATCAAGAAAATGTTGTTTAGGGATCACTTTTCTAATGTTGATTAAAAAAATAAGAGGAAAGTTTGTTAAGTATGGGGTTGGTTAAGAAAGTTGTCCAACTATTGTTCTCTGTTACAATTATGGGCCATTTTGTTATGATTTGTTAGAAATACGTACAAGCTTACTAAGCTTTCAGTGTCGCATGTGTCATTCAACAGCTGTTTCCATTGCTTGTTATACATCAGGTCATGTTTTGGATATGTGAGCTAACATTTGTCATTAAATGTCTTCCCATCTTCCGTTATGAGCATTGCAATCTGTTTCATGACCACCCTGACTGCTGGAAGGTCCATGCTCTTTAGATTGTATGGTTTATTGACTTTTACTGACTAATTAGCTTGGATCTTGTTGAAATGAAAATATGATTAGATTTATGTAGCAAACTATATTTCTATTTTGTTGGCATAAAATTTCTTGAGTTGACCGTTTTCTGTTACCTGAGGTTTTCTTCCCTGTGTGAGAGGTTTACCAGAGTCTACGTACAGTGCATATGATGAATTATTATTTAATGATTATTAATTGCTTACATTTGATATGATTTTTGTAGTTGTTGGAACAGTCAGCCTGTTAAAGTAAATATAAGCTATTTGTAATGTAGTTTCTGATTGCAATTTTTGGCTTTGATTGGTTGAATTCGTAAACCGAAAAATATAAGAAGTGTGGCCTAATGTTTGATTCCAACAGCTTACTATACAATAACAGTACTGGTATGTAGGCTCAGTTATTACAAGAGGTGCAACAACAGGTTTCGAAGTTTTTAACAGTGTTTGAATATTTTGTTATACATTTTGTGTAATTTGAGATTGTGAGAACCACAGGTATGGATCAGGGCCCCGTTCCACAAAGCGATCGTAGCGCTATGCCTGTCGTAAGCCTATGATAAAGAATGGGAGTTACGATCATCTTAGCGCTACAATTGCTTTGTGGAACGGGGCCCTGGGGTTAGTGAAGGTTTACTGAAATACTAGACCTGGAGATATAGAGGATGAATTGTGACAAGATTTCATTTATGTGAATCTTTATTGATATGAATATTCAGAACAGTACCTAGCACTTCTTGCTTTAATATTCGATAATAATTGAAATAAGGAAGTCGGTAAGAGTCGACATCATTGTAAGATGTAACATTGTGTAAGTTGCTAGAACCCTGGAATGGGTGTGGACCTGATCTGATCTGTTTACATGTCATGGTTGTGTTGGCCAGTCCATCAAATATATCCCTCCATATTTTGTAGTCTATTTACAAATGGTCACATCTTTGTTTAACATTCTACATGCTGTATTTGTCATTGTATAGGAATCTCTTGTTGTGGATGTTAAACATGGTTTTTTAAAATTCTGATGTGAATTTGCTACATTATAGCAACTCATTGCCATTTTAACATTCTTAATGCACTGTATTAAAATATGATTTGTATTCTGTCCAATTTTACAATTTAGTGTTTTGAAATGAGATCAATTAGTACTACTTACTCAAAGCTAATACATACTGTCTATACAAACCAATGTTATACTACTCGAAAGAAGTCAGGACAGGACAGATTAACTATAATAATATGAAAGAATCTGTGGTCCTTAACTTCTTTAGAGTAGTATATAACTCTTGGTTTTTAGTCTTTGATACTGCACTTGGTATGGATTTGGATGCACTGTTGTTATGTCCAACATTTGGCCAGGTCTAGAGAAAATCAGCAATAGCTTACAAATTAAGATATATTGCTGCCTATGACATAAAAGCCCCCTACTCATGTATAGATACAATGTTGCCTATGCTGCTATGACTGTAGTATAGATGAGCTACCTGTGTGATAACTTGCCTTAAACCACATGCTAACTACGCTTTGATGTTGCATCAGATCACAGTAGATATATACTTGTGCAATCCCTAGGCTAGATCAGGTGTAAAACTCTTGACTAGCATTTAGAAGAATTGCCACAAAACACCGCTACAATTGAAATGCAGAAGTTAATCATCCATTCTATCTTGTCATCAGGACTCTTGTGACTTGGTCATCCATATTGTCATATGTATTTTGCATCACCTTGACAATAATAGTTTTGATGTCGCACTTTGGATTCTCATTAAATTGAAGAGGACTGTTTATGATTGTGTAAGATATGACAGAAAACTTTTTAGTGGGTGTGAGGATCATGGGTGATGTCCCTTTGTGTGGAAATGCTCTGAGGGACACTAGAGGGAGCAAGGGCCAAGTTTGTAGGTATGGTCGGATATTTTATATGCTGTAGCACCTGATTTAGCCTAATTGTCAAGAACTACATTATTTGAGATTTGTGTGATGTGACTGCATTCTAGGTACCCACCATGTGTGTTGTGTTGATGGCTCCATGCTAAGTAACATGTAGCATCAATATGCAGTCCTACAACTCCCAGAGAGCTTGTGTCTTGTCCTGTTTCTTGTGTGTCTGTGTATATACAACCATTTTCTGTCAACATGTCCTTGGAATGTGTTCTGTCTCTCAAAGTCTTTTGAAAAGAACTTACTGGAGCTGAAGGGGTTGTTGTCATAGAGGGTATGCTAGAAGTGTACCCTGGCTAGATCCATGTACAGAAATGTGTCTCAAATGGCCTTCACTGAAGCCACTTGATAAGTTCATTCAAAGGTGCCTGAATCCATCTGCTGTGTAGAGACCGCCTCTGTGGTCTAGTGGTAGAAAGTCCGCCCGGAGAGCGGAAGGTCCAGGGCTCGATCCCCAGCCGCGTCACACCAAAAGACGTTAAAAGATGGTACTTGTTGTTACCCTGTCTGGCGCTCGGTATTAAGGGGCTAAAACAAGGATTGGTCGGCTCGGAGTCAGTATGCTGTGTCTGAGTGGGGTATTCATGTTAAGCTGCAGCATGGTATCTCAGTGAGCTAGCACCATTAATCGGCATCAGTCCGGACTAGTACAAGCAGCCACACAAACACACACACACGTATATGCACGTCGCTATATAAGTGCAATAATCTTGGACGCAACGTTAAACACCATTTCACCTCACCTTCTGTGTAGACTTCTAGAATGCCAAAAAGCATGGCTGTACATTTTGGAGTTGGAGGATCATATACTGAACAAAATACGTTAGGGATTGTGTGCTCAGTCTTCACTACAAAAAATATCCCCCAAAATATTCATGATCCCTAACTCTTTTGGTTCAGTACATGGTCTGAAAAAATCAATTTTTGTCGACAACATTGTTGCCACTTTCTAATACAGCTGCAAAACTTATGTTACAAGTAAACTGAAACTTTCCCAGTCCCTTGAGAGCTGAGCAGTGGTTAGCTTGGGTACATTTCTGTATTACACTTGAGCCATGAGTACATCTTGTTAGTATCCTATTCGACAACAACCCTTCAGCTTTACTTACCATATGTAAAGCTTGGATATATACAACATGTACAAATGTGTATCCTTATTTGTTACTTGATTTCATGTGATGAAAATATCCTGTCAACGTAGTGAGGATGTGGGGTGATGAGAGTGGAGACTGAATATAGTAAGGGGTATGAGATTAGGTAGAGCTAGGTCGCAAGTGTGAGTATTGGTTAAGGATTGGTTACTTTTTATCATATTGAAAGAATGGGATATGGGGTGTGGAATAAGGAAGCGGGTATGGAACAAGGGCTATAGGACAAGGAAGCGATATAGGGCAAAGAAAGTATGGGGTATGGAATAAGGAAGCGGGTATGGAACAAGGGCTATAGGATAAGGAAGTGATATAGGGCAAAGAAAGTATGGGATATGGGGTATGGAATAAGGAAGCGGGTATGGAACAAGGGCTATAGGATAAGGAAGCGATATAGGGCAAAGAAAGTATGGGATATGGGGTATGGAATAAAGAAATTGGTGATGGACAAGAAAGGCATATGAGTGTAGAAAACAAGTGTGTGAGGGAGGGTTGGGATTTAACGCTGCTTTGAACAATAATCCAGTTATATCACGGCATGTCAGCTTAATGTGTGAGGAAAGACTGAAGTGATGCAGGCCTCAGATGTTTATCACTGTTGGTGAAACCCATGAACAAGGGTATGGTGCTGACAAACCTAGAGACAAAGTCAGGTCAAACAGGGATTCAAACCCACAATCATAGGTTTCTGGCATGTCCAAAGGACGCATCTCTGCACAGCGAATAGCGGCGCCTTAGATGACTGGGCCACACGTGCCCCCACTAGCATGGGATATGAACTATGGCATGGGGAATGGGGTATTTGATAAGGAAAACAGGTATGCTGAAAAGGGTTTGAGTGAGTTACAGGGTACCAACTGTTACAATGTGTTAAATATTACAAGATACGAGCAGGAGATAGGGTATGGGGACAGGGTACTAACTAGAGAAAGGCTTTAAAGGTTGTAAGGGCAGAATGACTCGGATAAGGGTTAAGGGTTTACAATACAGCAATGGCGAGTGTCTGTAGCCCCTGAGTGACTATGCAGTGCGAGATATTTACAAGTAACTTGTCTGTGAAATCCATCTTAATGCCAACAGCAAACCATATCTCTTTTCACATATTGCTCTTTTCTATGTATTTTTATAATGCTCGCATAGTTTTTGTGACTGTGTAGTTTTATATGCTATTTTAGACATTGTATTTTAAAACAATGAAAATGTGACTTTCTTTTTGAGGCTTTTAAAGCCATATTTATTACAGCCTGTATGTAATAAACAAAAGTCTTTGTAACAGAGTTGACTTGTCTGAATGTTTTCATGCTTGGACTGTCTTTGTGGGATCCCAAGGTTCAGCATACAAAAGAGGAAAAAGATGCACTCGGCATCAGGGGGCTAAAACAAGGACTGACCAGCTTCGAGTCAGTATACTGTGTCTGAGGGGGGTATCCGTGTTAAACTCAGGCATGGTATCTCAGTTAAGACTCAGTTCTATACATGAGGCACCAATATCAATTTTGTTCACTCGTAAAGCCAAATATCTTCCACTGTGATATGATGTGTAAATAGTCGAGCAGACCGGTCACTGCTTTGAAACAGGCTAGCGTGGACACAGCTTGATGGCAGCAGGGACTGAAGCTGTTGCAGAGGCAACTGTTCTGTGGCTGTATCGCTTGAGCTTTGTCTTGAACAGATGCTGATAGTCTGGTTGAATAAAAGTGACAGAACCCTTTCCACATTATACATATAATAAAGGGCATTTTCAGGTGAGGTGAGGTGAGGTGAAATGGGGTCTAATGTTGCGTCAAGGATTATTGCACTCATACAGGTGTGCGTGTGTGTGTGTGTGTGTGTGTGCGTGTGTGTCCATCTCTCTCGATCTCTCTCTCTCTCTCCCTTGTGTAGCTTCGAGTGTCATCCAAACGCAACACAATCAAATGCATCCCTAATGACATCTGATAACACATCCCTATCAGAAATATGTGGGTTCCACCTTGCTCTTGTCACCATGTTTTTGTCAAACTCTGTTCATTAACGCAAGACCAGAGAATCAGTATGAAATACTATGATTATGAAACAACACACACATTAACAGTCTTGTAATGTTAAAACTTTTATTTTCCAATACTCCTGCCATACAATAATCACCGTTGCATTCATAAAAAGTGAGCAAGGTAGCGAAGAACATCCTTGCCACAGGAATGATTGTTGATAAAAGTGGAGACATTCTTGACAAGACTCCGCTTTACTCCTTTAATCCACCTGTGTTGATATATATGATATCAACACACTCGGGTGAGATTCTATATGTAACACCCATGGCTGTTATCAATGTTATCATCATATTAAAAACAATTCTGTAATGAATTCAGCATGACGAATTAATGACAGCAGTGAATTGATATTTCACCCTAAACAGATCTTAAAATTTAATATGTCTGTACTTGAGTAACAAACTGTTTAAATTCAATCATTGTTAACAATTCCGTGTGCATCTTCCTGATCAAAATCCTTCAAAGTTATATCACTGGGTAACCTTTAACCGAATCACCAGTAGATTCCAAGGAAACGTGTGTACAGCTGATTGCTGTTTCCAGCTTAGTTTACGAGAAAATACACAAGGAAACCTTAACCCTATATGTAAAACAATGCCTAGCAGAACAAAAAATACAATTGAAATGGTAAATCAACATGTCTGGTGATTTTTCATCTCAAATTACAAATTTGTACTGACCAAGTTTCTTATCACCCCTTCGTTTACTGGAATTCGCTGAATGGGTATGGTGTAATTTCTTTCTGCGTATAATATTCAAAAAAAAAAATTCTCCAAAATACTGAATCTGCTAGGGATGGATGCACCATATTCAAGAAAATATGGTATTTCTTATCCACATATATATTTTGTATTTATAAAATTAGGAGAAAAAATCTGTGCATGATCTTATTCTATTATGCAGTAATCGTGCAAATATCGCATAAGACGAGATGCTGGATGATTGGACGTCTCCTGAATGTGGCATCACATCTGCAGTGAGTTGTCTCCCCTGCTATTGTGTGGTCGTGTAGACTGGAGAGAATGTTTCGGCATCTGTTGGCTGTAACCTGGAACAATGCGTGAGTGAGTGAGAAATAGTGATGAGAGGATGAGTGAGTGAGGGAAAAATAGTAAATGAGTGAGAGGAAAATAGTGAGTGGAAGAGAGGGAAGAACAGTGAGTGGGTGAGTGAGGGAAAAACAGTGAGTGAGGGAGGGAAACAGTGAGAGGAAGAGAGGGAAAAACTGAGTGAGGGAGGGAGGGAGGGAGGGAAAAACAGGAAGAGAGAGAAGAATAGTGAGTGAGTGAGGGAGGGAACAACTGAGAGGAAGAGGAGAAAGAATAGTGAGTGAGGGAAACAGTGAGAGGAAGAGAGGGAAAAACAGTGAGTGAGGGAGGGAGGGAAAAACAGGAAGAGGGAAGAATAGTGAGTGAGGGAGGGAAAAACAGTGAGAAGAAGAGAGGGAAGAATAGTGAGTGAGTGAAGGAGAGAAACTGAGAGGAAGAGAGGGGAAAACAGTGAGTTAGGGAGGGAGGGAAAAACAGGAAGAGAGGGAAGAATAGTGAGTGAGTGAGGGAGAGAAACTGAGAGGGAAAAACAGTGAGTGAGGGAGGGAGGGAAAAACAGGAAGAGAGGGAAGAATAGTGAGTGAGTGAGGGAGAGAAACTGAGAGGAAGAGGGAAAAACAGTGAGTGAGTGAGAGAAACAGGAAGAGAGGGAAAAACAGTGAGTGAGTGAGGGAGAGAAACAGGAAGAGAGGGAAGAATAGTGAGTGAGTGAGTGAGGGAAGAATAGTGAGTGATGAGGATGAACATTGTGTTTTTACAGATCTTGAGTGTTATTGAGTACTTGGATGTGGGGTAATTTTAACATTTGAAACGTCCGGGTTTCTTGTTGGTTGAAAATGAACAACCACAAATCTGAAAACACACAATGTCTATCTCCAACGTTTAACACCTTGATACCCCATACAAGTGGAGTGAGTGAGGGAATGTTGTTAAGTGTCCCAGTCAGCAGTATTCTGACTATCTCGACTGCTTGTTTCTTTGTTGTTTAACGCCGCACTCAGCAATATTTGAGCTATATGATATCTGTAAGCAATTGTATCTGGAAAGACAATTCAGTGATTGACATCATGAGTATCAATCTACTCAATTGGGATACGATTACATGCATCAACCAAGCCAGCAAGCCTGACCACCCGATCCCTTTAGTCGCCTCTTACGGCAAGCAAACCAGTGACTGAAAGCATGAGCAACAATTCCAACCGAGTGTGTTCGTCGGAGAGTGTGGTAGCTACACTGTTTGATAGGCATTGCTTAGAACTTGACGGATGACAAAATAGACACAATTTATGGATAACAACTTCTTTAATTACTGGGGGCGGTCAGGTAGCCTAGTGGTTAAAGCGTTCGATCGTAACGCCGAAGACCCGGGTTCGATTCCCGACATGGCTACAATGTGTGAAGCCCATTTCTGGTGTCCCCCGCCGTGATATTGCTGGAATATTGCTAAAAGCGGCGTAAAACTCTACTCACTCACTCACTCTTTAATTACTGTAAACGCAACATTTCAGTTTACTGTTGTCCATGAATAGTGTCTACTTCGTACACAACAGTTGTTTACAATGTGATGTCTCACCAGTTCTGTGTGCTGTATTCTGTGTTGTGCTGGTCGTACACATGGAACGTGTACACGTGCCGGGATCGTGAAGACAAGTTCTGCTCGCTCTTGTGAACCACCTCGCCATGGATCAACACCAGCGACCCTGTAGGGCAAGGTCAAACAGATGAGCGGGTAGAAATTGTCAATGTTTAGCATCAGCAACTCAGAAAATACTGGCTGGATGCATGATGTCATGGATTACCATGACAACAACAAAGTCACCTCACCACCCAATCCAATTAATCGCCTTGTATCTGTAATCTTACCTTTCTTAACTTCAGCTGGTACAAATTTCTTGTCATCAAATTTGACGACTTCTCCTGTAAACATGGTGCCTGGTTTTCCTGGACCCCGCTCTGGGTTGATGATCATACGTCTGTTGCCAGCAACGCCATCTGGTGACAGCAACACACATCAATGTTACAGCACTATCATATACAGTCAGCCTAGTCACATGCTGTAACCCCCTGGGCCCACTTGCACAAAGCGATCTTAGCACTACAGCTATCTTAAGTATATATTAGAGTCTGGGAGTTACAATCATCGTAGTGCTAAGATGGCTTTGTGCAAGTGGGCACTGATCCTCCGATCTAAGGCACTGGTGGACCATAAAGCTATCTAGCAATTGCAATATGAAAGAATGGTGGTCCTAATGATAAACTACAGAACTTGATGCTTCAGGTAAACACTGTTATTCGTTAAAATTTCATTATACAACTGACATAAGATCTTCTCCACACACACACACACACACACACACACACACACACACACACACACACACACACACACACACACAATCATTCTGAAACACTATGACAACACACAACATAATCAAGGGGACATTCTATACTTGCAACCTTCAACTTTACCGATACAATTCACGCGCCAAAACTTCTGGAATGAGAGTTATCTCCCTTAAATCATTCTTTTGAGTAGTATACAAGTGGGTCATTTTACTTCTGTTGAACGTACCCCTAAGAGAGTAGGTAATACATGTAGTGTTGGGATGTGTTTACATTTTGTGTTCACCGGAACCATAACACTTCCAAATGTGTAAATGTTTTAGAGTATGATGGAGAAAGGGGGTTGTGCTCCCACTCATCCCCAGTGGAATGACACATTATCGTAATCCAATCAAACAGCACATATCACTGCTTATTAGCCCTGATTGGTACGCTGGGAAGGTGTCAACAAACTTGAACTGGAGTGGTCAATGACGCCTAGTTTGACACAAGTGGGTAGAACTCTTGTCCCCAGCAGTGATAACTCACCGGATCCCTATTGTGTAATTCCTATTTTTTTAATGACATTGTTGTGTACTTGTTACAACTGCTGCTCAATAAACTGTGTTTGTGTTTATATTCAAGCTGGTATTTCCGCTATCCAAAGTGTGCAGTGAGGTCATCTTATTGTTGATAGTCATTTTGCGGACATAAATGCGAAGTTTCATTAATGTGAACAAAGACCACTTGCATTTTTTGCATCTAATTCACTCTTGCATTAATGTCAAGATTCTTTATTTAGCCAGATCTTTGTGTGATCGGCCCGGGGTCCTGGAACATATTCTGCCCGTGCTGTTATTAATTTAACGGTGCTTTTAGCATGTGGAATACTGAATGACAATTCTACTGATGAAAATCCCTACCTTTGTGAGATCCAGGGATGAACCACAGACATCCATTGTCCAGTGTGGCATCTTCCAGCGCTATCCAGACCCCCACCAGCTTCATGGGGTCCGTGTACAGGAACGTGGAGTCCTGGTGCGGCACCACTGTAGGGGAGACATCAGATATACAGGTGTCATACCGCTCGTTAACACCAATGGTTAAAATTCGAAGGTATCATTATAACAATTGAAACCTCTGGGCGACTGTAAAGAGTTAGTGAGTGATTCAGATTTTACACTGCCTTTAGAATGCTAGTGATATTCTCTGTGACCAACCATGAATGAGTGAGTATGGTTTTACGCCGCTTTTAGCAATATTCCAGCAATATCACGGCGTGGGACACCAGAAATGGGCTTCACACATTGTACCCATGTCGGGAATCGAACCCAGGTCTTCGGCGTGACGAGCGAACGCTTTAACCACTAGGCTACCTGACCGTCCCTGACCAACCATGAAATAAGGGACCTTATGGGTGAAAAATCACATTTTGACTTTTCATTGTATTTTATTTTCGGAACACAAAAATACAACTCACATGCCTCCATTCAAATTTATTACAGAGATACATTTGGACTCATATTCCGACTTATAACTATTTAAATATTACCAGGTAATAATTGCAGTTTTCAGACATAATGTCTGATGAATTGGAAGTAGACATGTATGCTGAAAGTTTTTTTAAAATAATGTTTTTGTTACATTATGAATTAACAAGAGAAAAATAAGATATTTTTGTACAGCCCGCACACATGGCGTCTTCACTGAAGTAAATTGACGTCAAACGTCTTTACAACATCACATCACAATTGTATCCTAGCAACCAAAAGGTCTCCTGGGGGTCACAGATTTCGATATTCAGGGGGACACCAGAAACAGACTTCCCGTATTGTAGGTGAGGTGAGGTGAGGTGAGGTGAGGTGAGGTGAGGTGAGGTGAGGTGAGGTGAGGTGAGGTGAGGTGAGGTGAGGTGAGGTGAGGTGAGGTGAGGTGAGGTGAGGTGAGGTGAGGTGAGGTGAGGTGAGGTGAGGTGAGGTGAGGTGAGGTGAGGTGAGGTGAGGTGAGGTGAGGTGAGGTGAGGTGAGGTGAGGTGAGGTGAGGTGAGGTGAGGTGAGGTGAGGTGAGGTGAGTTGAGTTGAGTTGAGTTGAGTTGAGTTGAGTTGAGTTGAGGTGAGGTGAGGTGAGGTGAGGTGAGGTGTGGTGAGGTGAGGTGAAATTGGGTTTAACGTCGCGTCCAAGATTATTGCACTTATATAGCGACGTGCATGCACGTGTGTGTGTGTGGCTGCTTGTACTAGTCTGGACTGATGCCGATTTATAGTGCTAGGTCACTGAGATACCATGCCTTAGTTTAACATGAACACCCCACTCAGACACTGTATACTGTCTCCGAGCCGACCAGTCCTTGTTTTAGCCCCTTAATGTCGAGCGCCAGACAGGGTAACAAGTACCATCTTTTAACGTCTTTTGGTATGACGCGGCCGGGATCGAGCCCTGGACCACAAGACCACGGAGGCGGCACTTCCCGTATTGTACCCATGTAGGGAATCAAACCCAGCACCTAGGCATGATGGATGAACAAATGCTTTAACCACACCACTACCCTAATGCCATAACCAACAGTTTAAGCTTGAGGTTTCAAATGTTATATTTCCAGGGTATCAAATACTCAATCACACATGATAATCTAAAAACCTTTATGGGTATTCTTACATCTATGAGATATCTTATGCTTCATGGGGATTCTGGAATAGGTACATGTGTCCCCTGCTGAATGTATTGGGTAGTCAGGCTCGGTTATTTGGTCAATAACATGTCATTATAAACCAATTGCATGGATCGATGCTCATGATGTCAATCCCTGGATTATCCGGCCCAGACTTGATTATTAACATACCACCGTCATACAGCTGGAATGTTGCTGAGTGCAAGCGTATCCTTCCATGACAACCAAACTACGGTCCTACTCTTCCACTGAAGTATCACTCTTTGATAAATTGATAAATAATAAATTGATTTGATAAATGTCACCAAATAATATTTCAAAATGTTCTCTCACGCCAAGAGTGAGTATGGTTTTATTCCGCTTTAAGCAATATTCCAGCAATATCACAGAGTGTGTGGGGGGGGACACCAGACATGGGCTTCACACATTGTTCCCCTTGTGGTGAAACGGACTTGGGTCTTCAGTGTGACAAGCAAACTCTTTAACCTCTAGGCTACCCTACCATGTTGTGCCATAACTGTTCACAGAGCTTCTAAACCACCTCACTCACCCTAGTTTGTGTTAAGACAAATAAGCTTTAATAATTACCTTCACCTCCGATGCCAGGTTGCTGAAATGTGATGAGAAATACTCTTCAGATAAAGACAGGAAACAAGAACTTATGATGAGGCACCAAATTATTTTCTTGTTGGATGAGTGAGTGAGTGAGTGAGTGAGTGAGTGAGTTTACCGCCGCTTTTAACAGTATTCCAGGTATATCACAGCTGTTAGCTTAATGTGGGAGGAAAGCCCGAAGTGATGCAGGTATTAGACATTTACCACTTCGGTGAAACCCACGAGCACGGGTATGGTGCTGACAAACCTAGAAACATAATCAGGGCGAACTGGGATTCAAACCCACAATCCTAGATTTCTGGTGTGCCAAAGGGACACAACTCTGCACAGCGGTCATGGCACCTCAGACAACGAAGCCATCTGTGCCCCCCTGTTCTATGGATGAAGAAACAGTAGTTGTGTGGGGGATACTTTTTCATCAGTTTCCAGCTCATTGGGACCGTCTAGACGATCACTGACCAAGAGGTGTTCAAAAATGGTAGTTCTTGTTACCCTGCCTGGCATTCGGCACTAAGGGGATAAAACATGGACTGGTCAGTTTGAAGTCAGTATGAGTTCAACATTCTTGAATGCAATGACTTTAAACCCCATTCCACCTTACCTCACCTCCAACACATCTTTCAAACAAACCAACATACGGAATTGTCAAATATTTAAATGCAACAATCTTTCTTGAAACAAACTGCCAGTCTGAGCTGATGGCTGGACCAATAATGACAGTAAAGCTCAACTTCTCTTCAGCTCACTGATCTTCAATAGGAGTTGATAATAAAACAAGTTCATAATAAATTGAATTTATAACAAGGCAAAAAGTGAGCAGGGCTCACTAATACCCCTGACTTCGACATATTTCTAAGAATAAAAAATGAAAAAAAAGCAATCTTTTTTTTAGAAAATCCACTTATCGAAATTAAACTTTACACTGCGCCTCTCCTACTGGTAGAGAAAGTATTCACGAAGTATGAAAAGAATCAATGCAGTAGTTTTCAAGTTATAGGTCGCACAAAAAATGTCCTTCGAAGGACAGATTGATGGGCCAACAGACGGGAAGACGGATGGACGGAATTCCTTGGTATAACTATATACCTACGCCATTTTAGGTCGGGGGTATAACAAAAGGAGTTGATAATAATATGAGTTCATAATAAAATGAGTTCATAAAATATGAATTAATAATAATATGAGTTCACAACAAAACAAGTTAATAACGAAATAGTTATAAGTTAAGTTGATAATAAAATGAATTAAGGTAAGGTAAGGTAACATGATTTGTTTGTATACTTGTTATTTAACGCTGCACTCAGCAATATTCCAGCCATATGGCGGCGGTTTCTAAATAATCGAGTCTGGATCAGACAATTCGGTGATTGACATCATGAGCATTGATCCATTCATTTGGGATCGATGACATGCATCAACCAAGTTAGCGAGTCTGACCATCCGATCCCGTTCGTTGCCTCTTACGACGAGCATAGTCACCTTTTACGGCAAGAATGAGTTGCTGAAGACCTATTCTACCCCGGATCTTCACAGGTTACCTTGAATATGTACATGCTCTGACACACGGTGGGCTCCACCATCCCAACAGCCCGCAACACATCCTGAAACCAGAACACTTTACATGTATACTAAATGAAAATATAGGCACAAAGAAATTTATATTTCAATAATCAGACCATTTTGTTGAGCCCATCGAACTATGCATACACAAAATCTTGAACAGAAATGGCTGTGTAAAGACTGTAGATTGTTCCACTGTGGTTACCATGGCGATGCTCACAACAGCGCCACACAAGCAGGCCATGACATATTCTTACTTAAAAAGTTTCATTTTTTTTGCCCAACTTTCAGGTTTTAAGGTCCTGGAATCCAAAAACCAAAATAAGTTCTGCCTTAGGAACAAGTCAGCTCCATCATAGACTGCAGCTATTCTGACGGTTCAAAATCATGAACAGGAAGTCTAAGTTTCAAGGTGAAGGACAAAATAACAAATGAAATCACGCGAGGTAGGGACTGAGAAAACAGACGGGGATGATTATCTAAACTCGGCCAAAGTCAAAATGCACTCGACCATGACATTTTAGAATCCTGTGTCTGATTGGTCAGTCAGCAGTATTGAATCTATGTTAGACCATGACTTTGCTGATGACTGCATCATCATTAAAGGAACTATCTATTTAGAATCCAAGAGGCAATTTCAAACACTGATCCTTCTTTCGAAAATAGCTGAATAAGAAAATAGCATTAACACTATTCCTCGCTATGGGGCGTATTAGAATTTTGTTTATTCACATAGCAGTGAATAACAAGGAAGTTAACGTTAATTATAAAAAAAGTCCTATAAAGCCTTAGGAAGCGATAGGCGTATACAGATTTCCCCTCATGTAACTTCAGAAGTTTCTCAGAAAGATTTTCCCATTGCAGACACTATGCACTAAATAAAAAAATAACATGGATCAAGGGCCGTAACTGTGTATGCATAAAATATAAAAACATGTAGCAAGGTATGTAACTCTGGAAAACATAATTTACGGCACCAATTTTCAAACTCAGTCTTGACAAGTATCCCCTAGATAAACATGCAAACTTTCAATCATTTCATAGTTTTTGAGTATGCAAAAAGTTGAAAAGCATGGAACAAGGGCCATAACTCTGTAAAAAATTACTTTAAGACACCAATTTTCGAACTCATTTGAGATCGTGACCAGTAACACCAGTGTGTAAATTTCATTTCTCCAACTAAAATAGCTTTTGAGAACATTTGTCGTATGAAGTCCGGTCTTATATCCCACGCCCGACTTCATGGCAAGGGGTAATAACATGCTGTGGTCCTAGATTATTCAGACCATATCCTTAGGTGAGATCAAGTGATATCTACATTGTAGATATCGCTGTTATGAAATGGCATCACAATGCTTTGCAGACCATTGTGATGTCATTGGTTACCATGACGTCACAACCAAATGACATCACTGATGGCTCTGGTACTGAAGCTGTTATCAGTACTTTTCACACTTAAGACACTGCTTATTACTGTGTACAAACTGAAAATGTTAGAAGAATAATGTTGGATGATAAATAAAATCTCACCTTCGTGTCTTTTGATATAAAATATATCAACACTCGTTGATCAACTTTTATCAACTTGTGTTGAAATATTTGATATCAAAAGACATGAGGGTGAGATTCCCTATATATACTACTATAAAAAAGAATTAAGGTCCCTCGATTTCTTTCAGAACTTTTTTGCCATGCCATCACAGATTAACTATAACAATGTGAAAGAATCGGTAGATCCTCAACTTTATTTGAGAAGTACAATTTGCAGAAAGCTTGACAATTCTTAGAATGTTATCCCAGCTGTGGAACTCACCTTCATTCTATCGCTGAAGGTGACCCGTCTGAACACCGGGTTCAGAATATGGAGAGCTGAAAAAAATGTAAATATCTCATTATTTCTTTACATTTCATCTCATGGAACATATGTTCTTCAATATCAACGAGTTGAGTGAGTGAGGTTTTATGCTGCTTTTTGCAATATTCCAGGAATATCATTGCATGACACCAAAAATTGGCTACTTAAATTGTAACCATGTGGGGAATTGAACCCAGGTCTTCAGCATGAACAGCAAAAACTTTAACCACTTGGCTACCCCAATGATCCTATTCAATATGAGTTCGGGCACGTCTAAGGTGCCGCGATTCGCTGTGCAGAGTTGTGTCCATTGTGCACCCTAGAACCCTATGATTGTGGGTTCGAATGCTGGTTCACCCCGACTAAGTTTCTAGGTCTGTCAGCACCATGCCTGGGGGTTTCACCGAAGTGGTAACTGCATCACTTCGGGCTTTCCTCCCACATTAAGCTGACACACTGCGATATATCTGTAATACTGTTAAAAGCGGTGTAAAACCCAACACATTCACTCACTCACTCACTATACATGAGTAAGCAAGTATGTTTCATGCAGCTTCTAGCAACATGCCAGCTTTCACATGCAGAGCTCCAGAAAAGCTGCGTATCTGAGTAAAATACACATCAGAAATGCAGAAATATGCAGTAAAATAAAATCCAAGCATATCAAATACGCAACGAACATAACAGATACGCTACAAAAATAAAACTTGTGCGGATCATCAAAATATTGTGAAGTAACCCTGCGTATTCGATTAGCAAATCAGCAACTTATTTTGAAATTATAAACAGACATTCCGTCAACCTCCATGCCAAACTCCACTATGATAGTAACATCATGATCATTTGCCAGCACACTTTCTTGTGGAAGTATCGTGGTATTTTTTAGTCCTATAAAGCTCTCGAACCCACACGACACCAGTTTGCAGGGACTAGATGAATAGTGTTTTTAAATATTTAACTTAAATACCCACATGTGTAAAAACAAGTGGGTAACAGAAATTTGAATACCCAGATAGAATTACTGATACCCAATGATTTTAAAATGCATGGGTAAAATACCCACAACACCAAAAGCTTATCTGGAGCTCTGCACATGTTAAATGTCACACTCATATGCTAGCTACATGACAGCGGTCTGTAAAGAATTGACACTGGAGCAGACAATCCAGTGATTGATATTAAGAGCAATGATCCACGATGCTGGACAATGATGACACCCAATCAACCAAGCCTGACCACTGGATCCATCTGGTCGCCACTTACGACAAGCACTGGTTGCTGGTGACCAAATCTAACCCAGAATGCCCATGGAGAATGCTTAACAAAAACCCACGTGGAGAATCAAACCAGGGGACTTTGAGTGACAGCTTTCACCACAAGGCTACCCAATCACACCCTTAATCATGTTAAATATAATGAAATATTATAACATTACAGATGCGAGTGAGTGAGTGAGTGAGTGAGTGAGTGAGTGAGTGAGTGAGTGAGTGAATGGGTTGGTGGTTGAGTGGTTGAGTGAGTGAGTGAGTGGGCGAGTGGTTGAGTGAGTGAGTGGGTGGGTGAGTGAGTGGTTGAGTGAGTGGTTGAGTGGGTTTGTGGGTGAGTGAGTGGTTGAGTGAGTGAGTGAGTGAGTGTTGGGTTTAACACTGCTTTGAACAGTATTACAGTATTTATCCTAATATCAAAGTTTGACTGCTTGATGTGGGAGGAAAGCCCTAGGTGATGCATGTATTAGAACAACTTCTTTGAAACCTTGAGCACAGGTATGGTGGTGACAAACCTAGAAACAACATCAGGGTGATACAGAACCGTCTTTCCTGAGCCGTTTCTGTGATTAACATATAAACCATGCCACAGATTTGACAATCCTCGACATAACCAAGTCAAAGAACAGATCTGAAACTTTCAACAGAGGTGGATAAAACCCAAGTGATGAGCTGTGGACTTACCATGGCCTATTTTGTTGACTGAGTGCTGCTTGTCCACTTGCAGCACCCCTGAGGACAAACGACCAGCATACTAGACTAACATGAAATCTTATATTACACAATACACGTCTTTCCTGATGTTGATTTCATGTGGAATAGCATGTGATAGCATGTTACTACACATGATATAAATGGTATATGCTCTGACTAATGAGCATACCGTATTCGACATGATAAGCGCCCCCCGCTCTAATAAGCACCTCTTCCGATTGATCACACAAGACTTATTTATTCATGTATAATACACACTCATGGGTCATATATGCAACCTTAATTATGAGCAATTAAATTCTGGAAAATATATCTGTCGTGCATAAACATTTCAGGCTGTGAGCATAAACCATGGAATTTACGATCTTTCAACTCTGTTTTTTTCCACAAAAATAATATTCTAATAAGAGCCCCCTATTTTTATTTTGGAGAACGCCCTGGACGCTTATTAGGTCGAATACGGTATTATTTTTTACAAGTATTGAAAACATTAAATAACACCAAAAGATTCCTATTTTAGAGTACTGACAGAATGTTCTTGCAGAATTTGGCACAAATGGTCGTGGTCTTCATCAGGCTTTTATCTGCTTATCATGTGTTTATGTAATTTTATCACAAGGAAATGAGACAAGAAAAAAACCCACATAGCTGGAGAAAGTTCATGCTTGAACATATTGTAATGAAGTTTTGTATAGATAACAAGCACAACATTCTCTTTGTGTCATCAGTCGACTAAGTGATTTAAGAACACTTATCTACACAGTCAGTCTTTGGACTGAAATGCTTCTTTTTATTGTTTATAAGAATACATCATACTTATTATCATCTTGACAGTTCTCTCACCTTCTTTATCAAGTGCTCCCTTCTCGAAGAAAAATCGAATTTTATCACCACTTGTCATGAAATAGTCATCATTTGTCTGAAAATATGAATCCAAATTTAAAAAAATACAATAGAGAGAAAGTTAGGTAAACACTACTTTCAACACTTTTCTTTTGCAAAATCATGGACGTGTCAGGAAAACTTGACGTGTTTGGATTCTTAAGGTGTTAGGAAAGCTTGAGGTGTTAGGAAAGTTTAAAGTGTGAGGAAAGCTTGAGGTGTTAGGAAAGTTTGATGTGTGAGGAAAGCTTGAAGTGTTAGGAAAGCTTGAGGTATGCCAGAGACCTATGATTGTGGGTTTGAATCCGGAATATGTTTCTAGGTTTGTCAGCACCATACCCATGCTCGCAGGGTTTCACCGAAGTGGTAAATATCTGAGACCTGCATCACTTCGGGCTTTCCTCCCACATTAAGCTGACACACCGCGATATAACTGGAATACTGTTAAAAGCAGCGTTAAACCCAACTCACTCACTGTATCAAAATGGTATGTCTGGTACCTAAGCTGGGCCACCATCCTGACAACGTCTTCTTGTCATGATGAAAAGAATATCAACAAATCTGTATTCAATAACGCAAGCTATTCAGGTTCTCAAGTTCTAAGACAGAGGACTGATGACAGTACATTATTACTAATTTAGAATAAAACAGACCATTTTCAAGAATAATAGGACTTCTCCACCCTTCACCCATTGTTCTAACAATTGCACCATTTTATCCACCTGTTGATGAATGGTTACCATGGTTACCTGTTCTGTGGTAGAGAAGATGGTGTGGTGCTGTGCTGGGTCCATGTCATTGATGATGTTGCTGCATTCATGACGTAGTGCTGATATATCGGTGTCGTCAAGGAAATTTGGAATGACAGCGTAACCGTCTTTCTGGAGCTGCGTGTGAGGAAAATTCTGTCATACATGATTCAACCTTATTTTACCGATGACCAGGGCCCACTTGCACAAAGCCATCTTTGCACTATGATGATCTAAACTCCCATACTCTAACATAGAGTAAAGACAGTTGAAGCACTAAGATCACTTTGTGCAAGTGGGCCTAGGGCTTCAGTGTAATGGGGTGAAATGGAATTTAACATCGCGTTCAAGATTATTTCACTCAAACAGCGACATGTTGCTTGTATAATTCCGGGGAATCCAGACTAATGCTGGTTTTATAGTACTAGCCCTCCGAGATACTATGCTGCAGTGTAACAGTGTTTAAATTTGACACCCCAATCAGACACATTATACCAGTCCTTGTTTTATTCCCTTAATGCTGAGTGCCAGGCAAGGTAACAACAAGTAGATCTCTGCCATCTTTTACGCTTTTTTTGTGATGCGGCCGGGCATCGAACCATCAACCTCTTGCTCTCCGGACTGATGCTCTATCCACTGCACCACAGGGGCGGTTCACTTCAATCATAGAGTAGTTGCCATAGGTAGGTGCATCTCCCGAGGCAAGAGTTAACTGACTATAAAAGCCCAGTTCCCACCCTTGCCGAACTAGGCTCGTATTATGGAGTTACATTTTGGCTGGACTAACGAGTCTGTGCATAGTCCAATCAAAATTGTGCAACGAAATCGAAATTCGGTTTGTAAACTGTCATGCAGATTTCGGTCGATTGCAGGATTTGTAAAGCATGTGCACCGCCAACTCCTTGTCAGCAGATATTTTCCAAATCTTTTGATGATTTAAATCAAGGTGCTCACATGATTTGATGCACTTCGCAATGTAAGACCCGTTTTATCACAATATAGATCTTGATTATTGATCAGATTGTCTTGACTGGGCACCGCCATTTTGTTTGAATCAAATGCAAGTGATACGAGAGGTGGAATCTGATTGGTCCATAGGAAAGGCTTAGAAGGGACATAACTGGTAATAGCCACTGGTGGCGCTACGATCGAGACCAGGAATTCCAGCCTAGTTCGGCAAGGGTGGAAACTGGACTTTTAAAGTCAGTTACCTCTCTTGTCCCGGGAAGATGAGGTAGGTGTTGTTTACTTTAAGACTGTGCAATGTTGGTGAACTACAGTAATACTATGTTAAACATTTTCAAGTGTGTCATTACCAGTAAGTACAACAAAGGAGTCAGCACCTTCAATTAGGGCTGTTGGGTAACTCGAACCATATATTTTATGGCTGTCATCAATACTGCATGGTTCTATAGACTACATAGAGAACAGCAATACCAAAAACTGTAAAAACTTTTGTTATACTTTTGAATAAAAAACAACAAAACAAAAGCTTCTCGTGCTGTTATGGATAAGTCTTGTCAGCTAAATACCTCAATCTCATTGCCTGTCTTCTTATGACATAGCCAGTACACATAGCTATAGGACACCTTTTTGTCAAAAGTTCGCTCAGTTTCTGATTTGCTTGACCATCAGCTAATAACAGGAATAAAGGAGAGCGGGTCATGTTTGGCTTAATGTATTAGTAATGTTGCTGGCCATGGACAAACAATTTGTATATTTGTTGTGTATATGTAAATATTGTATATTGGTTTCAAGATTCATTCCCTACTGTTATAGTGAAGGCTTATTAAAATCTTACTTTTGAAATTTCGGGTGGTTTTCAACTCCTTTTACCTCGTACATTTACTGAACTATATATCAATATATCATGAACAATAAAAGGTTTTAATAAAAATGTGTATTTTTTTTCTAAAAGTTCTTGGTGTCTCCTCTCTTGTACACTACATGCGACTGACGACAAGCCTAATTTGAATAAAAAAAACATACTATTTTGGCGACTGACGATGTTTTTAAGCCTAATTTGAATAAAAAAACCATGCTATTTTGCACATACCGTATCCTCACTGAGAAAACTTTAAATTAATGATTACAATATAATAAAGGTAATAATTTCACGCAGAAGCATAATAATATGTTCATTGAATTCACAAAACAATTTTAACTTCTTATGTGAAGAAGCCAAACTGTGATGATTAAACAATCTTTTCTAAATGTAGGCCCATCAGTGTCCTTGGAAGATCACTTACAGTGCCTCGCGATTACAACATATGGGAGACAACTCTTCGCACCTTGGGTGAGCTTATCGGAGTAAATATTCCCGGATGTATTCCGGGATATCGATCCCACCAGTTGGATATTCCTACATAAACGAAAAAATCATGGGCATGGATTGCGCTGAGCGTCTGACACTGTCACTGGATTGACGGACAGTTATCCCGTATTTCCAAATCTCGATTTCCAACATGCGAAGCCATGTGCTTAGCAAGGGTCTAGATCGGTTGGCTGGTGTGCGATATTATTTTTATCAAACACACTTCAGTGATTTTACTAACCATCGCTCAGGCATTACAGGTGGACATTGGCCCACATAATACACAGTTTAGCTACGTACTCCACGATGCGCTGTCGAGTTTAAGACTCCAACATGCGGTAATGGCTTCACAAACCCACCCGACTACACCCTCAAAATGACGCAGGTTTACGACAGCATTCAAAATGTAATCGTCAAACGATGAGTGAAATCTGCATTGACATACGTTGACATATTAATAAGCAAGACGTTTCTAACTGCCGTAAGGCAATACTTTTGTATAATGACCTGGAAATAAATCAGAATGAAAGAAAATTAACCTGAGAATTTAATCCCTCGAAGTCCATATCTGACGACCTTTAAATCGACCTCGACCTACTAGTACGCGAAGAACAAGGTCAAGGTCACAGAGTTTTGCGCTGATCCCCTCAGTCTCCCTTGTGATGGTAGACTGACATTAAGTCTCTGAAATGACCCTTTTTATGAAAAAAAAAACAAAACAAAAAAAACCCCCAAAAAACAAATAAACCAGTTGTTGAATTATAGTTATAAAATAAGAATAAAAGGATCCCAGAGAATTTCTTCATTTTCAGATACAGCAGTAATCTAGACTTGCCGAACATTATAGACTTGCATGGGGTGGTGGATATATTTGTTTCAGGGTCTGTATGACAGACTAACGTGATGGATGCGAATCGTAGAATAAAGCTCAAACTATTCGAAGGACACACTTGTTTAATTCCTGCGATAAGCAGATATAAGAAGCAGAGATAAAAAAAAAGAGAGATAAAAAACCAAGTGTCATTGGGGACACTGTCATGATGGAGATCGAAAATTCACAGGACCAAATAATAAACGAACAAAAATTACCCCGAAAAAATCACAAATTTGCCTGTAAAAAAACACAATGTCATGGAAACACTGACAACTATTTTGAATATAAGAGTTTAGTGCACTTGAAAATTGATAATCGTGACACATAACAATAAAAATAATTACTTCTTAGACTGAAAACTTAACATTGTTCCTCTGTTGTTTGTTGTGTTTTTTCCCCTGTGACCTTGTTTCCCTACATTCGCCAACAACACAGCGTGTTCATATGACATAAGTTAAATCTGTAGGTCGTCATTATTGTCTCTGGTTTGCCTTATAGGAAAACGTGTATATTTGTTACCCTGGGAGTCGATAAGTCATTATGGTATTTAGATTAAAAGAAATAGTCGAATTTCTTTCAGTGTAGATGACCGGGTCACGTTGGGCATATCTTATGTTATAGTGGGTACACAATCAAAACAACACACCCTATAATAAAAGCCTTAAGGGATGATAAACATTTGGACGAGTGAGTGAGTACGGTTTTACGCCGCTTTTAGCAATATTCCAGCAATATCACGGCGGGGGACACCAGAAATGGGCTTCACACATTGTACCATGTCGCGAATCGAACTCGGGTCTTCGGCGTGACGAGCGAGCGCTTTAACCACTAGGCTACCCGACCACCCTTTACATTTGGACGAGAGAACTGTGCAACAAACACAAGACAACCTGAGATTTATTACCAAGTTGTTATGTATTTACTCTTACATACATATTTAACGTGGGTAATAAATAAAATACCACACTCATTCTAGTTATATACCGTTTTTACGAAACTCGTGAACTTTCTATGTTATCTGAACTCGCTTTCGCTCGGTCAGATAGCATAGAAAGTCCAATCGTTTAGTAAAAATGGTATCTAACGAGAATGAGTGTAGTATTCTCTATATATAACCATCTGTCCACCCCAAGTCCAGGTGCTTTGGGACACTTGCTGGGACAGATTGGGGCCATCATGTCTTTCACTGTTGGTAACTTAATGTAATCCATGATGCGTAACTACCCGTGAAGATCCGGGGTAGAATAGGTCTTCAGCAACCAATGCTTGCCATAAAAGGCGACTATGCTTGTCGTAAAAGGCGACTAACGGGATCGGGTGGTCAGGCACGCTGACTTGGTTGATGCATGTTATCGTATCCCAATTGTGTGGATCGATGCTCATGATATCAATCACTGGATTGTCTGGTCCAGACTCGATTATTTACAAACCGCCGTCATATAGCTGGAATATTGCTGAGTGCGGCGTTAAACAACAAAGCAACCAACCAACCATCTCAACATGTTGCTTTCACACCTCTTCGGGCAGCTGATTTACCAGTTCGGCCCTGAAGACGACCTATCCTACCGGGTACCCATTCACAGCTGGGGGGGCAAGTAAACCAATCATACAAACTCGCCGTTTTATGGAGACGTGCATTCAGACCGTGTTTCTATTCAAACAGATCGCCCAGGTGGTGTAGTGGACAAAACGTCCGCCCGGAGAGGAAGGTCGTGGTTTGATTCCCTGTCGCGTCATACCAAAAACTGTGGGCGGTCGGGTAGCTTAGTGGTTTAAGCATTCGCTCGTCACGCCGAAGACCCGGGTTCGATTCCCGACATGGGTACAATGTGTGAATGGGTACATTTCTGGTGTCCCCCCCCCCCCCCCCCCCCCGTGATATTGCTGAAATACTGCTAAAAGCGGCGTAAAACCATACTCACTCACTCACTCATACCAAAACTGAACCCGTGAAGATTTGGGTTGGAATAGGTCTTCAGCAACCCATGCTTGACGTAAAAGGCGACTAACGGGATCGGGTGGTCAGACTCGATGACTTGGTTGATGCATGTCATCGTATCCCAATTGCGTGGATCGATGTTTATGATGTCAATCACTGGATTGTCTGGCCGCTATAATGTAGCTGGAATATTGTTGCGTACGGCGTTAAATAACAAACAAACCAGCACATCGTACCAAAACTAAGATTTTACGCCGCTTTTAGCAATAACACGGCGGGAGACACCAAAAAGATCTTCACACATTGTATCATACCAAAAAAAAGTTAAAGATGGTACTTGTTGTTACCCTGCCTGGCGCTCGGCTTTAGTTGGATAAAACAAGGACTGGTCTGCTCAGTAGAATGTGTCTGAGTAGGGTATCGATGCAGCACTATGCAGCATAGTATCTCGGAGGGATGGCACCATAGAACCAGTATTCGTCCGGATTAGTACAAGCAACATGTCTCCATATGAGTGAAATAATCTTGAACGCGACGTTAAACACAATTTCATCTCACCTCCCACCTTTTATTCAGACGGGAGCGAATAACCCGGAAATGACAAGACGAGAGGATGGTAGTTGTTTGAAGCGGCCGTTCAATGCCCATGGCGGAACTTTACGTAACCTTTGGGAAACAAGGCGAGCACTTCCGTTACAAATGCAATCAAGTTCATACACCAGAATACCACCAGGATATCACCAAGCCGATGTATTGATTATTTCAGAAGCAGTAGACACCGAGCGTGTCATCGCTTCGCACAATGCAAGGACTCGATACCACATAATTTTGACAACGCCCATCTGGATACGGCAGGGGTCTACAGGTGCAATGGCGTTAACAATGTAGGAACGTACTCATTCGTAACTACCTTTTATGATTAACAAGGGGTGGTAGTTCATTTTCTATAACATAGTTAATAATGATAAGTCTAACTACAGTAAACCATTATCGATACATTATAACATAGAATATCCATGTTTCTACAAACTCGTGTTATTTGCTTCCTCGTTCATAACACTGATGATGTGTACGTATACGTGGTATAGTATTTAGTGTTTTAATATACATGTATATCCCTCGCAGCAATGCTGATGAGGTTAGTTTAGGTGAAATTGAATGTGATACTATCATACTATTGTTGTTATTGTATATATAGATAATCCACACCGTATTTTATTGATTTGTGCAAATCAAATATTATGCATGAATCATATGTCGTTTCAAATTCTTTATATGAAGCGAATGAGAATGTGTTCTAACTATTTTATTTCTGGTTGGCCGGCGTCCAGCGGACAAGCACACCTAGAGTTTGGGCGTTACCGCGTTCTACAAGTAGTTGGCCTATTTGATAGACACGCTAAAACATTCAGAAAATCTCCTTTGCGCGTATATAATGCATATCAAGATGTTTATTTACGCAAGTTAGAGTATACATGATATATATGCGGCCTTTGACCTTACTGTACCCCACAATTAATCACACACCAGTGATTTCCCTTTGTGTGACTTAAATTATACCACTAAAAACAAAGAGGCATCGTTCTTGTTCTAACATTGCCCGCAGCGGATACAAAGATGTTTAGTGAAAATGCGACCCACCCTTTCTTTAAGCTAATTCACTTGGGCTGTAATTTACAACACGTCGGGTATTTTAAGAATTAGGACAAGAGGTATGTCACTGGTTTACTCTCCCTCCCAACCCATATCCCTGAGAAAAAATTAATTTGCATAGCACGTGCTATTTTTGTAAGGTCATAGGTCCTCGTCCCTTCCCGGCCGTATTACACCGCGCAGGCTGTGAGGTCGGTCCCCGCGCGTAGTAATTATCGCCTCGCCTTCTCTCCGGAGGAGTATAAAAGCTCGGATCGTATATTTAGCTCGACAGTCGGCGGTGAGGAGCGCCTGCAGCGAGCATCTCCCGTGATGTTAGGGCGATGCTTGGTTATCGAGATTTACTACTTGGCAAATAGTTGTTGATAGGCAAACGCTAAATACACACTTTAAAAAGGCTCCTGAACGTACAAAATGTAAGCTGTTTGCAGTAAGGGAGGAAAAGGTGCTGCACTTTGTCAGAAATACCTGGCCGTAGTTTGACATTTGCTACATAATTCATATAAAAATATAGAGGAAGTTAAACCGCGCACTTACTGTGCGTTGTAGCCGGCTACATTGGACATGGACAGGACTTGCTGTATGCTTAATTTCCTATAACACATAACTAGTGTGTTGCTTAGACCCGTTCGTGAGATTTTTGTGCACCGACTTCCATTATCGATTTATAAAATGGAAAGAATAATTTATTGCGTTAGTGTATGAGTAAACGTATTGATAAACAAGGCGCTGGAGTGGGGGCGGTTTTAAATTTAGATTTAGACCGATTGCAGTTTTATTAGTTTTTGTGTTGTCAATATTTTACAAGATTTATGTTTTTGTTGTCTGTACAGTCTGTCTGAGTGTGTTAGTGAGATTTTGTGTATGGTTAGTGTGTGTGTGTTTGCGTTTGTTCGTGTGGGAGTATGTGCGTTTGTTCGAGTGTATGTGAGTGTGTGTGAGTGTTTGTTTAAGTGTTATTGTGTGTGATTGTTTGTGTTTGTACGTATAGATATATAGGACTGGAGGTATTTGTTCGTATGTGTCTTTGGTCGTGTGGCTGTTGGTTTGTGGGCGTGCATCTTGTGTGTGTACGAATATGTGTGTTTGAGTCTGTGTTTCCACATACATGTGTGATTGCAGGCGTTTGTTCGTC